CCCCTTCCAGATATCTACTCGAGCTTCGAGTTTTGCTCCCCACTACCCCCTTCCAGATATCTACTCGAGCTTCGAGTTTTGCTCCCCACTACCCCCTTCCAGATATCTACTCGAGCTTCGAGTTTTGCTCCCCACTACCCCCTTCCAGATATCTACTCGAGCTTCGAGTTTTGCTCCCCACTACCCCCTTCCAGATATCTACTCGAGCTTCGAGTTTTGCTCCCCACTACCCCCTTCCAGATATCTACTCGAGCTTCGAGTTTTGCTCCCCACTACCCCCTTCCAGATATCTACTCGAGCTTCGAGTTTTGCTCCCCACTACCCCCTTCCAGATATCTACTCGAGCTTCGAGTTTTGCTCCCCACTACCCCCTTCCAGATATCTACTCGAGCTTCGAGTTTTGCTCCCCACTACCCCCTTCCAGATATCTACTCGAGCTTCGAGTTTTGCTCCCCACTACCCCCTTCCAGATATCTACTCGAGCTTCGAGTTTTGCTCCCCACTACCCCCTTCCAGATATCTACTCGAGCTTCGAGTTTTGCTCCCCACTACCCCCTTCCAGATATCTACTCGAGCTTCGAGTTTTGCTCCCCACTACCCCCTTCCAGATATCTACTCGAGCTTCGAGTTTTGCTCCCCACTACCCCCTTCCAGATATCTACTCGAGCTTCGAGTTTTGCTCCCCACTACCCCCTTCCAGATATCTACTCGAGCTTCGAGTTTTGCTCCCCACTACCCCCTTCCAGATATCTACTCGAGCTTCGAGTTTTGCTCCCCACTACCCCCTTCCAGATATCTACTCGAGCTTCGAGTTTTGCTCCCCACTACCCCCTTCCAGATATCTACTCGAGCTTCGAGTTTTGCTCCCCACTACCCCCTTCCAGATATCTACTCGAGCTTCGAGTTTTGCTCCCCACTACCCCCTTCCAGATATCTACTCGAGCTTCGAGTTTTGCTCCCCACTACCCCCTTCCAGATATCTACTCGAGCTTCGAGTTTTGCTCCCCACTACCCCCTTCCAGATATCTACTCGAGCTTCGAGTTTTGCTCCCCACTACCCCCTTCCAGATATCTACTCGAGCTTCGAGTTTTGCTCCCCACTACCCCCTTCCAGATATCTACTCGAGCTTCGAGTTTTGCTCCCCACTACCCCCTTCCAGATATCTACTCGAGCTTCGAGTTTTGCTCCCCACTACCCCCTTCCAGATATCTACTCGAGCTTCGAGTTTTGCTCCCCACTACCCCCTTCCAGATATCTACTCGAGCTTCGAGTTTTGCTCCCCACTACCCCCTTCCAGATATCTACTCGAGCTTCGAGTTTTGCTCCCCACTACCCCCTTCCAGATATCTACTCGAGCTTCGAGTTTTGCTCCCCACTACCCCCTTCCAGATATCTACTCGAGCTTCGAGTTTTGCTCCCCACTACCCCCTTCCAGATATCTACTCGAGCTTCGAGTTTTGCTCCCCACTACCCCCTTCCAGATATCTACTCGAGCTTCGAGTTTTGCTCCCCACTACCCCCTTCCAGATATCTACTCGAGCTTCGAGTTTTGCTCCCCACTACCCCCTTCCAGATATCTACTCGAGCTTCGAGTTTTGCTCCCCACTACCCCCTTCCAGATATCTACTCGAGCTTCGAGTTTTGCTCCCCACTACCCCCTTCCAGATATCTACTCGAGCTTCGAGTTTTGCTCCCCACTACCCCCTTCCAGATATCTACTCGAGCTTCGAGTTTTGCTCCCCACTACCCCCTTCCAGATATCTACTCGAGCTTCGAGTTTTGCTCCCCACTACCCCCTTCCAGATATCTACTCGAGCTTCGAGTTTTGCTCCCCACTACCCCCTTCCAGATATCTACTCGAGCTTCGAGTTTTGCTCCCCACTACCCCCTTCCAGATATCTACTCGAGCTTCGAGTTTTGCTCCCCACTACCCCCTTCCAGATATCTACTCGAGCTTCGAGTTTTGCTCCCCACTACCCCCTTCCAGATATCTACTCGAGCTTCGAGTTTTGCTCCCCACTACCCCCTTCCAGATATCTACTCGAGCTTCGAGTTTTGCTCCCCACTACCCCCTTCCAGATATCTACTCGAGCTTCGAGTTTTGCTCCCCACTACCCCCTTCCAGATATCTACTCGAGCTTCGAGTTTTGCTCCCCACTACCCCCTTCCAGATATCTACTCGAGCTTCGAGTTTTGCTCCCCACTACCCCCTTCCAGATATCTACTCGAGCTTCGAGTTTTGCTCCCCACTACCCCCTTCCAGATATCTACTCGAGCTTCGAGTTTTGCTCCCCACTACCCCCTTCCAGATATCTACTCGAGCTTCGAGTTTTGCTCCCCACTACCCCCTTCCAGATATCTACTCGAGCTTCGAGTTTTGCTCCCCACTACCCCCTTCCAGATATCTACTCGAGCTTCGAGTTTTGCTCCCCACTACCCCCTTCCAGATATCTACTCGAGCTTCGAGTTTTGCTCCCCACTACCCCCTTCCAGATATCTACTCGAGCTTCGAGTTTTGCTCCCCACTACCCCCTTCCAGATATCTACTCGAGCTTCGAGTTTTGCTCCCCACTACCCCCTTCCAGATATCTACTCGAGCTTCGAGTTTTGCTCCCCACTACCCCCTTCCAGATATCTACTCGAGCTTCGAGTTTTGCTCCCCACTACCCCCTTCCAGATATCTACTCGAGCTTCGAGTTTTGCTCCCCACTACCCCCTTCCAGATATCTACTCGAGCTTCGAGTTTTGCTCCCCACTACCCCCTTCCAGATATCTACTCGAGCTTCGAGTTTTGCTCCCCACTACCCCCTTCCAGATATCTACTCGAGCTTCGAGTTTTGCTCCCCACTACCCCCTTCCAGATATCTACTCGAGCTTCGAGTTTTGCTCCCCACTACCCCCTTCCAGATATCTACTCGAGCTTCGAGTTTTGCTCCCCACTACCCCCTTCCAGATATCTACTCGAGCTTCGAGTTTTGCTCCCCACTACCCCCTTCCAGATATCTACTCGAGCTTCGAGTTTTGCTCCCCACTACCCCCTTCCAGATATCTACTCGAGCTTCGAGTTTTGCTCCCCACTACCCCCTTCCAGATATCTACTCGAGCTTCGAGTTTTGCTCCCCACTACCCCCTTCCAGATATCTACTCGAGCTTCGAGTTTTGCTCCCCACTACCCCCTTCCAGATATCTACTCGAGCTTCGAGTTTTGCTCCCCACTACCCCCTTCCAGATATCTACTCGAGCTTCGAGTTTTGCTCCCCACTACCCCCTTCCAGATATCTACTCGAGCTTCGAGTTTTGCTCCCCACTACCCCCTTCCAGATATCTACTCGAGCTTCGAGTTTTGCTCCCCACTACCCCCTTCCAGATATCTACTCGAGCTTCGAGTTTTGCTCCCCACTACCCCCTTCCAGATATCTACTCGAGCTTCGAGTTTTGCTCCCCACTACCCCCTTCCAGATATCTACTCGAGCTTCGAGTTTTGCTCCCCACTACCCCCTTCCAGATATCTACTCGAGCTTCGAGTTTTGCTCCCCACTACCCCCTTCCAGATATCTACTCGAGCTTCGAGTTTTGCTCCCCACTACCCCCTTCCAGATATCTACTCGAGCTTCGAGTTTTGCTCCCCACTACCCCCTTCCAGATATCTACTCGAGCTTCGAGTTTTGCTCCCCACTACCCCCTTCCAGATATCTACTCGAGCTTCGAGTTTTGCTCCCCACTACCCCCTTCCAGATATCTACTCGAGCTTCGAGTTTTGCTCCCCACTACCCCCTTCCAGATATCTACTCGAGCTTCGAGTTTTGCTCCCCACTACCCCCTTCCAGATATCTACTCGAGCTTCGAGTTTTGCTCCCCACTACCCCCTTCCAGATATCTACTCGAGCTTCGAGTTTTGCTCCCCACTACCCCCTTCCAGATATCTACTCGAGCTTCGAGTTTTGCTCCCCACTACCCCCTTCCAGATATCTACTCGAGCTTCGAGTTTTGCTCCCCACTACCCCCTTCCAGATATCTACTCGAGCTTCGAGTTTTGCTCCCCACTACCCCCTTCCAGATATCTACTCGAGCTTCGAGTTTTGCTCCCCACTACCCCCTTCCAGATATCTACTCGAGCTTCGAGTTTTGCTCCCCACTACCCCCTTCCAGATATCTACTCGAGCTTCGAGTTTTGCTCCCCACTACCCCCTTCCAGATATCTACTCGAGCTTCGAGTTTTGCTCCCCACTACCCCCTTCCAGATATCTACTCGAGCTTCGAGTTTTGCTCCCCACTACCCCCTTCCAGATATCTACTCGAGCTTCGAGTTTTGCTCCCCACTACCCCCTTCCAGATATCTACTCGAGCTTCGAGTTTTGCTCCCCACTACCCCCTTCCAGATATCTACTCGAGCTTCGAGTTTTGCTCCCCACTACCCCCTTCCAGATATCTACTCGAGCTTCGAGTTTTGCTCCCCACTACCCCCTTCCAGATATCTACTCGAGCTTCGAGTTTTGCTCCCCACTACCCCCTTCCAGATATCTACTCGAGCTTCGAGTTTTGCTCCCCACTACCCCCTTCCAGATATCTACTCGAGCTTCGAGTTTTGCTCCCCACTACCCCCTTCCAGATATCTACTCTCTGTGCCGGCTTTCCCTGCAGGGATGTGTTTTCCAACGCCTTTGAAGGACCCATTCCCGACACGCTCCCCCTTCTCACCAATCTTGTTCTGCTGTGAGTTTATGGAAAGCCAGCGGGATTGGTAAGATAGGCATTGGCACTCCAATAGGTCGATCCGATTCGCAAGAGCTCCTAGCCCCCGTTTCTCCTCGTCCCATCACTCCATCTCTCCATGTCTGGAGCATAGTATCCCATGTCTTCTCTTCCCCGCCCCTCGAGTAACCACCAGAAAGATAGGCAACTGGCACCTCAATGGATTTATTCCAGGCAGCATAGGCAACCACTAACCACCTCCCCTCACCTCACCTCACCCCTCGTTCTCCCCATGTCTCCCCTCTCCATGTTCCATGCATCTCAACCCTCTCGTCCTAACTCCAGAAAGATAGGCAACTGGCACCTCAATGGGTCTATTCCAGGCGACATAGGCAACCTCAAGGCGCTCACTTTCCTGTAAGCAGCAGGGAGAGCGGTGAAGGAGAGTAGGGTGGGTTGGAGAGGGATGGAGGGGCAAGATAGGCAACTGGCACCTCAATGGGTCTATTCCAGGCGACATAGGCAACCTCAAGGCGCTCACTTTCCTGTAAGCAGGGGGTTTCCAGGGATTTAAGATGGGCGGAGAGGGGTGGAGAGGAGTGGAGAGGGGAAAAGAGGGTGGCGAGGGGTGGGGGGGAGGAGGGGCAAGATAGGCAACTGACACCTCAACGGATCTATTCCATGCGACATTGGCAACATCAAGGCGCTCACTTTCCTGTAAGCAGGGGTATCCTGGAATTAGGAATGGTGGGGAGGAGTGGAGTGGGTTGGAGAGGGATGGAGGGGCAAGACGGGCATCTGGCACCTCAACGGGTCCATTCCAGGCGCCAGCAACTGGACGGGCCCTCCCTTCCCAGAGTCTGTCACGCAACTACCAACGCAATACTTTGTACCTGCTCACCTCAACCCCCCCTCTCCCCCCTTCTTCCTCCCATTCCTCCCTCCAGCGAGCTACAAGGGGGCGGACATAAGTTGGTCCTTCCCAGAGTCTGTCACCCAGCCACGCACCCAATCGTCTTTGTACCTCTCACCTCAACCCCCCTCTCTCCCTCCACCTCCTCCCATCCCCCCCTCCAGTGAGCTACAAGGGGCGGAAATGGATGGGCCCTTCCCAGAGTCTGTCTGTCACTCAACTCACCAACCTGGAGCTTCCCCCGATGCCGCTAGTGCCCACTTCAGCCCCCCCCCCCCCCTCTCCTCCCCTCATTCCCCTCCCGGTCCCCCCCTTCAGTGAGCTGCAAGGGGCAGACATGGATGGGCCCTTCCCAGAGTCCGTCACGCAGCTCACCAACCTGGAACTCTTGTAAGCATGGGTTTGTGAAATCGGTTTATGGAATCCAGGGCCTCCATTTCTGTTGGTGCTTGCTTCTGCCGTTTGCTTCAGGGTGAGATGTTTAGGGTTACCCCACTCCAGTCTTTTCTCCAGCCTTACCTCTGCCTTCCTTCCGTCCCTGTTTATGCTACCTAAGTTGATTTTTGAGACGACTCAAAAATCGACTTATCACCCACTCCAGTGTTTTCTCCTGCTTTACCTGCCTTGCGTCCGTCACTGAAAATGCTACCTAACCTGTCCGCTCAATCTCCTACCACCACTTTTGACTTTCCCTCTCTCTCCCCTCTTCCCGTTTCCCCCGCATTTCACCCCTTTCCGTCCTATCCTCCTGTTGCTTCCTTCCCCTCTCAGCCACGTGGGTCTGACAGGCCTGCACGGATCTCTGCCGGATGGAATCGGCGACTTGACTAAGCTGAGCAACTTGTGAGTTGTATTGTAGGCATGGTGGGGCAGAGGCCATCCTTTTTGCTTTTGCGCTCCAGCCACTTGGGCCTGAGAGGCCTGCACGGCTCACGGCTGGAAGGAATCGGCAATCTGACTAAGCTGAGCAACTTGTAAGCATTGTGAATCTGCGTGTGGAAGGGCACAGCTGTCCCCTGCGTTCCCCCTCACTGAATTGCACAGAAACCGCTGTCTGTCGGGTCCCATACATGCCATCCCCTTTCTATCAATTGGGCTGGGAGCAATCTATTCAACACCTTGTCTCTCCACTCTCCACTCTTTTTCTTCCGCCCCACACCATTGTTCCCGCAGTGGAGTGCACAGGAACCGTCTGTCTGGCCCCATCCCATCTACTCTAGGGCGATTGACTGCCCTCGTACGACTGTAAGTTTTTGGAACGTGCACTCCTCCCTTTCCCATGCCCATTTTCCATTCCCCATTCCACATTTCCACAAAATCACAGTCGCCTTCCCCATTCCCATTTCCATTGCCTCACACCGTTCCCTATTCCCCAAATTATCCAATCGTCTGTTGCCTCACTCCTCCTTCTCGTCCTTATCTCCATACCCCCACCACCACCCAGTGAGCTCGATGACAACAGCTTCAACGGAACCATACCTGCCTCCCTTGGCGACCTCACTCTGGTCACTGTCCGCTACTAATCCTATCCCCGCTCCGCATGCCTCACAAACCCCCCATACCCCACCACCTATCAACCCCAGTGAGTTGGATGACAACAGGTTCAACGGAACCATACCTGCATCTCTTGGCGACCTTATCCAGGCACCACCTTATCCTATCCCCATTCCTCACCCCCACCCACTCCCCCACGCCCCCCGAATGACCCCCAGTGAGCTCGATGACAACAGCTTCAACGGAACCATACCTGCCTCCCTTGGCAAACTCACCCTCGTTACCAAATTGTATGTCTTGCTGCGCTGTCGTGATCAAATCTCCTGCAACTTCTTAAGTCAAGTGCTTCGTAATTTCGTGTCCAATTCCTTTCCATCCCATCATTGGCACCTCTCTGCCTCCCCGCCTGTCTCCCCACTTCCTCCCCCCCCTCCCCTTCATATCCCCATCCCCTCTCTCAGTAACCTGAGCGCCAACCATCTCACAGGCACTGTTCCGCCATCCCTCGCTAACCTCCTATCCCATCCCCTCCCCTCACCCAACCCACTCCCCCCCACCCCGTTCACACCCCCATCCCCATTCTCACTAATCTCAGTGCCAACCATCTCACCGGCACTGTTCCTCCATCCCCCTCGTCTCACTCTCCTTTCCTATCTTTCCCCATCCCCCTGACCACTTCCCCCATCCCCTCTCCCTCCCCTTCGATTCCTCATCCCCATTCTCAGTAATCTCAGTGCCAACCATCTCACCGGCACTGTTCCGCCATCCCTCGCTAAATTAACTCAGGCTACCGTTTTGTGAGTGGGCATATTCTAAGGTGACATATGACACTTTGAGGTCTTATACGAGTGGAGTTTACTTGAGTTGACTCGATTCGTCTCAATCCAAACCCAATCGTTGAGCCACTCTCTGAAAAAAATCCATCGCCATGCCCCCCCATCATTTCCCCCATTCACTTCCCACCATTCATTTTCCCCCCCATTCATTTCCCTCCCATTCATTTCCCACCATTCATTTCCCCCCCATTCATTTCCCTCCCATTCATTTCCCACCATTCATTTCCCTCCCATTCATTTCCCACCATTCATTTCCCCCCCATTCATTTCCCCCCCATTCATTTCCCCCCCATTCATTTCCCCCCCATTCTGACCGACTCCTCGATTTCTCTTCAACTTCCATGCTCCTGTTGCCATCCCTGCTCATTTCCCCTACCCCTTCTTGCTTTTCATCTCATCACCCCATCATCCTCCCATTCCCCAGGGATTTCTCCAAGAACCCTCTCAACGGCTCCCTCCCTCCCATGTTTGCCTTTAACCCTCATGCTCTCATTCCATTCTTCCTTTTCTCCCCCGCCATCACCATCAACCCCTCCACCCCCATTCCCCAGGGATTTCTCCAAGAACCCTCTCAACGGCTCCCTCCCTCCTGCCCTGGGAGCATTGAACAGCCTTGCAAACATGTGAGCTCTTTAAAAAAAATGGAGAAAAAGTGAACAAGTGAGTTCTCTTGTAATAGCAGATGTGAGTCATTTATCCTGCCTTGGTGTTGAACTCCCCTCCATCAGTCCAACCTCCCCTCTTCTCTCTTCCCGCCCACTGCAGCTCTCTCTACGGCACATGGCTTGAGTGCCCCGCCAACCAGCCATGCAGTCTGGAGCAGACCCATTGATTCCTCTCCGTACCCGTCCTCTCCGCGCGTCCAAGTTCTTTCTCCCCTTTCTGCCGACCATTCTTCCCATCCATCTCTCAGGTCCCTCTACGGCACGTGGCTTGAGTGCCCTGCCAACCAGCCATGCGGGGTGGAGCAGACTCCCCACTCGGCCTTCTGCCAGCTCTGCCCTGGCTTCTGCAGAGTGTGCAGCTCCTATGTGGGTAAGTCAGCATGTGCCATAGATTGGAGCACACACCTCATCCCACCCATTCGGCCTTCTGCCTGCCAGCTCTGCTCCAGCTTCTGCAGGCTCTGCAGCTCCTATGTGGGTGAGTCATCATGTGTCTGTTCAAATAAAGAGCAGCAGCAGCAGCGTTAACAGCAGTTAAGACATGATGCATTTACTTTCCCTCCTCTCCTTGTCTCCTGTACCTCCTACCCTGTTTGTCCCTCTCCCTGCAGCTGACGTCTGCAGCACCTTCCCTATCAACCCCTGCGGTCTGGGCACTTGTGTTTCCAAAGCCAGCAACAGCATCAGTGGCAGCGGTAGCGGCAGCAGCGGCACCAGCAGCAGCCGAAGTGTCAGGAGCAGTAGCAGTGGCATCATAACCAGCAGCAACAGCCTCATCAGGGCCAGCAGCAGCAGAAGCAGCAGCAGCAGTATCGGGGCCAGCAGCAGCAGTGGTAACCCTACTGGTTACACCTGTACCTGCCCAGCAACCACCTCTCCAGGCATTCTCCCTGATGGCAGTGCCACCTGTGTCCCCAAGTCCATCTCCCCTTCCCCACCCTCCTCCCCCTCCCCTCCTCCCACCTCTCCTTCCCTTCCCTCCTCTCCTTCGCCTCCCTCCTCTCCACCCCCCTCCCCTGCAATCTCCCCCTCTCCTTCCCCACCCACGGAAGCCCCCCCTTCTGCCTCTCCACCCGCTCCTCCTTCCTCCTCCTCTTCCGACTCCTCTTCTCTCTCGCTCGGAGTGATTGTGGGCGTAGCGATTGGAGCAGGGGCGCTTGTCATTGCGTGTCTCGCCCTGATTTGCATCCTCGTTAAGAGCAGACCTGCTACAGGGCCCAACTCAGCTGGTGAGTCACCCAGACTTCTTCAGCCTCTCCTCCTCTTCTTCCCCTCTCTCTCACTCGGAGAGTGATTGTGGGCGTTGCTAATGGAGCAGGGGTGCTTGTTATCGCTTGTCTGCCCCTGGTTGTCATCCTCAATAACGGTAGATCCGACACACGGCGCAACCGAGCCTACGGCCCCCCTTTCGTCCCATATATGATGCACCCCAGTACCAGGCATGTTCCGCCGCTACAGCCTGGCGGAGGTGCTACAGGCGACTGACAGCTGGGCGAGCTACAACCTCTTTTGAGTCAACCCTACGTTGCCTCCTCCCCATACAAACATTCCCCAGTCCCAGGCATGTCCCAGCGCTACAGCCTGGGTAAGGTGCTACAGGAGACAGACAGTTGGGCGAGCTACAACCACCTCTGTTACAAACTCTATGTTGCCTCCTCCCCATACATACCTACATACCCCAGTCCCAGGCCTGTTCCGACGCTACAGCCTGGCAGAGGTGCTACAGGCGACTGACAGCTGGGCGAGCTACAACCACCTGGGCAGCGGGGGCTATGGGGACGTGTACAAGGGCGTGCCGCCCCCTGTGAGAGTGGGCAGCGAAGGGGGCGGAGTGGGAGGAGCGGAGGGAGATAGTGGGGAAGCAGGTGTGACAGGGACGAGTGTGAACGTGAGAGGGAGTGGGAGGGGAAGTGGGAGGGGAAGTGGGAGGGGAAGCGCGTGGGGGAGTAAGAGGGGAGGGAGTGGAGAGGGGGAGGTGGGGATCACAGTGGAGGCTGGGGAGCCGCAGGTGTGGGCGGTGAAGCGAGCCAAGATGCGAACCAACGATTTCCACAAGGAGGTGAGCTCCCTAAACCTTGATTCTTGAACTCTAGAAGTTGAAGCATAACCCCCCTGGACCCTGAAACACAGAGTAGGGGGGCCGCTGGTGTGGGCAGTGAAGCGAGCCAAGATACGCACCAACGATTTCCACAAAGAGGTGAGTCAGAAAGCGGAGCGGAGTAGGGAGAGGAACGGATGTGGGGGAGGGTGGGGATTGCAGTGGGTAGGAGGAAAGGGATTGCAGGGTAGTGTTTCCCTCTCCCCGCAACCCTTGCATCCTTACCCTCTCCACTTTTCTCTCCCCCGCTCTCTCCCATTCAACAGGTGATGGCAAGCAACCATCACCCCCACCTGGTGCGCCTGCTGGGGTACTGCGTTACAACAGACGCCATGACTCACTCCCAACCACCTGCTCTCACACCAACCACCCCACCTCTGCTTCCCCTCCTCCGGCTCTTTTTCCCTTCACAGGTAGAGCTGATGGCGAGCAAGCATCACCCGCATCTCGTCCGCCTGCTGGGGTACTGTGTTACAACGGACGCCAAGACTCACTCCTTACCACCTGCCCCGTCTTTCCCCCACTTTCGCAGGTGGAACTTATGGCGAGCAAGCATCACCCTCACCTGGTGCGCCTGCTGGGGTACTGCGTTACAACGGACGCCAAGACACACTCCCACCTGTACCCAAACCACTCCCTACCCCGTCTTCCCCCCACCTTCTCAGGTGGAGCTGATGGCAAGCAAGCACCATCCACACCTGGTGCGCCTGCTGGGTTACTGTGTTACAACAGACGCCAAGACTCACTCCTAACCCCCCACCCCCCCTTCACAGGTAGAGCTCATGGCGAGCAAGCATCACCCGCACCTGGTGCGCCTGCTGGGTTACTGTGTTACAACAGACGTCAAGACCCACTGTTTCCTTACCCCTTTCACCTCAAAACCACCCCCCTTCCTTCCTTCCCACTCCTCCTTATACAGGTAGAGCTGATGGCGAGCAAGCATCACCCGCACCTGGTGCGCCTGCTGGGGTACTGCGTTACCACGGACGCTGAATGCACTCTCGACCACCCTGGCTACAAACACTCCCCCCCCCTCCCTCCTGCTCTCTCCCCCAACCACCCCTTTTAACAGGTAGAGCTGATGGCGAGCAAGCATCATCCCCACCTGGTTCGCCTGCTTGGGTACTGTGTTACAACGGACGCCAAGACTCATGAGCAGGAGCAGATCATCATATACGAGTTCATGGAGAACGGGGACTTGGAGCGAGTTTTGAAAAGTGAGTAGAGCACTGCATGTGTGTTTTGACGCACGTCTCACAACCTGCCAGTGACCTGAGCACTCCAGAGGCTGAGCACTTGAGAGCAGAGCAGGAGCAGAGCAGATTAGCATGTACGAGTTTATGGAGAATGGCGATCTGGCTGGAACGCATTCTGTGCTGAGAATACAATCGGAAAAGTGAGTGGTACTCTGTTTATGATTGTATGGGTTAACATGTCTCAGAACTGGTCCGTGACGTGAGTACATAGGAGCACACGAGCAGGAGCAGAGCAGATTAGCATGTACGAGTTCATGGAGAATGGCGACCTGGCTGAAACGCATTCTGAGAACACATTTTGACCAACCTTTGTTTGCGCACCGTGCTTGTATCTGGCTCCCGTTATCAAGGAGTCGACTTTTGAGTCGACTCAAATATGACCAACCTTTGTTTGCGCACCGTGCTTGTATCTGGCTCCCGTTATCAAGGAGTCTGCTGTGGAGTACCTGCATAGCCACGTGTATGAAGAAGTGCTTTGAGAGGTCTCAAAACACTTCGTCATACACGTGCTTGTATCTGGCTCCTGTTATCAAGGAGTCTGGAGTGGAGTACCTGCATAGCTTCATACAGCTGTGCTTATGTGTCATCCTTTCCCCACCTCTCGTCCCGGCTCCTACACTTCCCCGATCCTCCCATCCCCAGACCTTGCCTCACGGCCTGTCAGCCTGCAGCAGCGGCTGGAGATGATGATTGGAGCAGCGAGGGGCCTGGAGTACCTTCACGTTTCCAATTCTTCCGGCCCGCGATTACCCACCTCCTTTATCTCATCTCCTTCCCCCCCCTCCCCCATTCCCAGATCTCGCCTCCAAGCCTGTCAGTCTGCAGCAGCGGCTGGAGATGATGATTGGAGGGGCCTGGAGTACCCTCGTAGCGTCATACCTTTCCCCCCTTGCTCCCACTCCTTTCCTTCCCCACGCCTCCCATCGCCAGACCTCGCCTCAAAGCCAGTAAGCCTGCAGCAGCGGCTGGAGATGATGATAGGAGCAGCGAGGGGCCTGGAGTACCTTCACAGCTTCTCCATGGTGCATCGGGACGTGAAACCAGCGAACATTCTTCTTGATGGCAACTGGCAGGTGTGTGTGTGCATGTATGTGACACCCATGCACCCGACACCGCACCCAGCAAAACACTCAGCAGCGAGGGGTCTGCAGTACCTGCACAGCTTCTCCATGGTGCATCGGGACGTGAAGCCAGCCAATATCCTGCTGGATGGCAACTGGCAGGTGCGTGTTGGTGTGTTGTGCTGATGCTGTTGTGCTAGGAGAGAGTTCACACCTAGCACTAAGCGGCCTGGAGTACCTTCATAGCTTCTCCATAGTTCACCGGGATGTGAAGCCAGCCAATATCCTGCTGGATGGCAACTGGCAGGTGCGTGTACGTGTGTACGTGTGTATACGTCATTTATAACACCTAGCACCGCACCTAGCAGGTGTGTGTGTATGTGTGGTGTGGGTGTGGGTGTGGGTGTGGGTGTGGGTGTGGGTGTGGGTGTGTGTGTGTGTGGGGGGGGGGGTGTGTGTGTGTGTGTGTGTGTGTGTGTGTGTGTGCGCGCGCGCGTGCGTGTGTGTGTGTGTGCGATTTTCATAACACCCAGCACCACAACACCCAGCACCACAACACCCAGCAGCGAGAGCCCTGGAATATCTGCGCAGCTTACCCTCTGTTTTCTCCCCACCCTTACCCTCCCACAGGCCAAGATTGCTGACTTCAGGCTGACCAAGATGGGGGAGGGCAACGCGTACAACCCTCAGGACTCCACTCGAGTGCTCGGCACTCCAGGTGCTAGCTTATTGTGCATCTTTCCTCTTCTGTTTCTCCTCACCATTCTCTCCCACAGGCCAAGATTGCTGACTTCGGGCTAACCAAGATGGGAGAGGGCAACGCATACAACCCTCAGGACTCCACTCGAGTGCTCGGCACGCCAGGCTATGTGGACCCTGTGTATGGGCGCACACGCAAGGCCACCCCCGCAAACGACGTGTTCAGGTGGGCACGATGAGTGATGTGTGACGCGCATATGCCTTGTTGATTGAGGAGCATCAGAGAATGCCAAGAGTGCTCGGCACGCCAGGCTGTGTGGAACCTGTGTATGGCTGCACCCACAAGGCTAACTCCCCAAGGACGTGTTCAGGTGGGTTATGCTCAGGTGGGTTATGCTCAGGTGGGTTCTGCTCAGGTGGGTTCTGCTCAGGTGGGTTATACTCAGGTGGGTTCTGCTCAGGTGGGTTCTGCTCAGGTGGGTTATGCTCAGGTGGGTTCTGCTCAGGTGGGTTCTGCTCAGGTGGGTTCTGCTCAGGAGGGTTCTGCTCAGGTGGGTTATGCTCAGGTGGGTTATGCTCAGGTGGGTTCTGCTCAGGTGGGTTCTGCTCAGGTGGGTTCTGCTCAGGTGGGTTCTGCTCAGGTGGGTTCTGCTCAGGTGGACTCACTCAGGTGATTCTGTTCGGGCGGGGTATGCCTGGATTAGCGTTCTGACAGGGATTCAAATAGAGCGCATATTGTGAGCATGTGTTACTGGGCACACCAGGATGTGTGCCTTTCTGTTTCTCACTCTCTCTGCCTCACCACCATCTCTTCTCCTCCCCACTACCACCCCCTCCTCTCGCCCTCTCCCCTCTCTTGCTTTCATTCTCCTCTATGCCTCCAATCATCCTCTCTCCAGCTTTGGCATTGTGGTGCTAAAGCTTCTGACGGGACGAAGGCCATTGTGTCAGTGTCTAAGGATGAGTTCTGAGACGTCTGAAAACTTTCTCCCCAACTGCCCTTGTTCTTCCCCTACGCTTCCAATCATCCAATCTCAGTTTTGGCATCGTGATGCTGGAGCTTCTGACGGGACGAAGGGCCATTGTGTCAGTGTCTAAGGATGACGATCCGATCAACATTAGCAAATGGGTAATGGGTCTACCACCAGTGATTTACATTCTATTATATGTGGCATTACATTCCATTATCTATTGATCACCCAGTCATGGTATCATCTGTTCAGACCTCCTTTTTCTGCAACCTCCTTCCTTACCTCTATCAATACCTCTTTTGGGTTTGGCCTTTCCCTTGTCACGCTTCCATACAGGCTGCCCCGCTAGTGGACCGTGGTGACATAGCTGCGTTCAAGGATCCTCATCTAGATGCTCCTGATGATGTCATTCTCCGGCTTGCACGGCTCGCCATGACATGCACAGCCACTCCGGCCATGTCCCGGCCTCAAATGGTCAAGATTGTCGCGGATCTTGAAGGGATTAAGGAGGAACTGTTCAAGTATGGCACAATGATGTTTGAAGAGGAGCCTCAAGTGCCGAATCAGTCGTTGACTCAAGTTATTTCGCAGGTTGAGGTTATTGTGAGTGAACATGCTAGGTTAAGCGAGGAGTCTAGCTCTTAAAACGGATGAGCCTGGTTACTGCTATGTCAGAGCTACATATTTTCTTATGCATTTTACATCTGCTCCTGTCTTGTTAGTGTGTTTCTTTACTGGAATGAGCTAAACATTGTTTCGTTTTTAACGACCACGGTTAGAGAATTCAGCTAGCAAGATGTTACACTTCTCTGACGCGGATCTTGACCGCATCTCCCGGCTTCGCTGGAAAATTGCCGCAGCAGTTGGCTTATCCGATCACGTGGCCAGTCCTTCGTGGAAATTAGCAAAACCACGTGGTTCTGTGGAGACTTCGCTTGTGGTTGTGGATAATCCCTAGGGCGGCGCCGGTAGGGCCAGCTTTTGCCCTAGCGGTGTGCTTTCTTTGCCTGCTGCCTCAGCCATCTGCGCCGGGGCATAGCTGAGGCAGCAGAAAAACACTGCGCGCTGATGCGCGCAAGAATGCCGAACTGTTCCGCTAATCACGATGGAACAGCCAATCGTATGTTTACAGTAGGGCTGCAAACACCGTGGAGATGTGAGACGCTGAGCTGGAATTTGATATGAGGAGTGATCTCAATTTCACACAAAATCACAAATTGCGTTCGCCTGTGCGGACCAGCGACCAGCATGAATGCGGTCCGAAATTCCGGCACGCACCACATCCCACAGTCTAGTGTTTGTACGAGTCTCTGCGACGGTGACTGCTGGGATTCCCAAGCCAGCTAGGCAGGGGCATCTCTGCGTGTCCTGGTTACGCTACGGCGAATTGCAACGAAATGAATAAGGGACTCTCGCATCCAATCATAGGCAGTTTTGCGAACATGAAGAAACCAAACCACCAATTACACCACCGCACCTCGTTCGCAAATCGCCCCACCGATGCACTTCTGAAAGCTGGCGATGCCTAGCAAATGTGAAAGTCGAGGCGTGGCAATCCCAATGTCGAGAAGTCTATAAATCACCGCGGCTTTTCCTCAAGAAGTACCTCACGCTCTTACGTATTCTCTTCAGTATCTCCCTTCCTGGGAGTGCTTGTCAAAGCATTTGCTTCCGTCGCTGCACGGAAGTTCGTACTCGCTCCCTCTTCTCGTTTGCTCTCGCCCCCTGCGACAGCAACGCTTGAGCTGCGCTCAGTCGAGTGCCTGCCGTGTTCGTCTCTTCGCGAACTTGACGACAACCGTCACCCGGGACCAGGCAACCGTCAAGATGTGCGGAATTCTCGCGGTTCTTGGAGCTGCTGATGCATCGGCTCGCACCCGAGCAAAGGTCCTCGAGTGCACTGCCAGGTGAGCGTGCATTTTCCACAATTCATATCAAAGACTCCAACTTTCTATTGCAATAAATCCTGTTCGGCCCTCCCTTGGTTCTTACAATTTCATTATCGCTCAACAATCTCGGCTGCTGTCAGTGACATGGCGGAGTCTTAATCTCAGGAGGCGCTCAATCGCGCATCGTAAATCCACGTTTTTTCAAGTACTTTCGCGCGTATTCTGTGTCGCCTCGCCATGTTCGCTTATCCCATGAATGGCTCGATGCCACGTGTCCCCCGCAGGCTGCGCCACCGTGGACCCGACTGGAGCGGCGTGCACACGTTCGGCAACAACTTCCTCGCGCACGAACGGCTAGCCGTCATCGACCCGGCGTCCGGCCACCAGCCGTTACGCAACGAGGACGGCAGCATCGTGGTGGCCGTCAACGGAGAGATTTACAATTACCAGCAGCTGCGGGACGAACTGAAGGACCGCCACACGTTCAACACGGGCAGCGATTGCGAAGTCATCGCCCATCTCGTGCGTAATAATCAATGAGTGATTGATTTGGTTTCGGTTCAAGCCATTTTACTGATGATTTATTGTTGCTTCGATCGTATTGCTCGTTTGCAAATTGGCTTCTCCGTTTTCGTTTTCTTTTCAGTTTTCAAATTTTGCATGCCTGAGCATCCCCGTTATTACACCTCTCCACTCGGACCCCCTCCTTCAAGAATTCATTGCGTACAATCTTACGGTTATTTGACACCCCAATATTTCCGTCTCGAGACCGTCTCGAGTTCCGTGCTGCTCAACATAGTAGAAGCTCCTAACGATGTGATGATGGCTATTATTCCCTCAACACCCTTCTCCAGTATGAAGACATGGGAGAGCAAGCCGTTCAGAAGCTCGACGGAATCTTCGCGTTCGTGTTGCTCAACGCATAGGACGGCTCGTACATCGCGGCGCGGGACCCCATGGGCTGTCTTTGACTCTTTCTGTCTAATTCTCTCGATCACACCCTTCAGTACGAAGATGTGGGAGAGCAAGCCGTGCAGAAGCTCGACGGAATCTTCGCGTTCGTGTTGCTCAACACCAAGGACGGCTCCTACATCGCGGCGCGGGACCCCATCGGCGTGTGTCCGCTCTACATCGGCTGGGGTCGTGACGGCTCCATGTGGTTCGCGTCTGAAATGAAGGCTCTTAAAGACGACTGCGAGCGCTTCGACACGTTCCCGCCGGGCCATATCTACTCCAGCAAAGACCGTGAGTCGTCAGGGTCAACCACATGCCGTCTTGAAGCGCCTCAACACTTCATTCCGCCGTCCTTGTTTTACCCTAACGTTCCCGCCGGGCCATATATTAACTCCAGCAAAGACCGTGGGTCGTCTGCGTTAAGCTGAGCTCCTCCTTTTGCTTTTTTTTTTTTTGGTCCTGATTTTTTTTATCTCGAAAGCTTTGAGTTTTCAGCATTTCCTGATTCTTGTGTGTCTGTTTCTGACCGTCCGTTTCTGCTCTCCCTGACTGATTTACATCATATCATCCCACCAGACAAGCTCCGTCGCTGGTACAACCCCGCGTGGTACGACGAGCACATCCCCTCCGCGCCGTACGATCCTCTCGCGCTGCGCGCCGCGTTCGAGAAGGCCGTCGTGAAGCGGCTCATGACGGACGTGCCGTTCGGCGTGCTTCTATCGGGGGGCCTCGACTCCTCGCTCGTCGCCGCCGTCGCGCAGCGTCATCTGGCGTCTACCAAGGCGGGCAAGCAATGGGGACCTCAGCTCCACTCCTACTGCATCGGCCTCGAGGTAAGTCCCTTGTTGCTATCATTGCGCGCCGAGTATGCAGGGGCCTCGACTCCTCGCTCGTCGCCGCCGTCGCGCAGCATTCTAAATTTCCATTGTTTCCCTTCTGTTCTCCCATCTTCCCACTTCTTTTCTTTCTCTTTTTTTTTTCAGAATGCCCCTGACCTGCGGGCAGCAAGAGAAGTCGCGGATTACATCGGCACGAACCACCACGAGCTACACTTCACTGTACAAGAGGGCATAGACGCGATTTCCGAAGTGATTTACCACACGGAGACCTACGACGTCACCACCATCCGCGCCAGCACGCCCATGTTTCTGCTGAGCCGCAAGATCAAGGCGCTGGGGGTGAAGATGGTGCTATCTGGGGAAGGCAGCGACGAGGTGTTTGGGGGTTACCTGTACTTTCACAAGGCTCCGAGCAAGGAAGATTTTCACGTGGAGACGTGTCACAAGGTGGGGGAGAATGTGCGGGTGTGTGGGACTGTGTGTGGGGGACTGTGTGTGGGGGACTGTGTGTGGGGGACTGTGTGTGGGGGACTGTGTGTGTGGGACTGTGTGTGGGACTGTGTGTGGCTCTTTGTGTGGCTCTCTGTGTGGACACACTCCCTCCTCCCCTCATTTCACACCTTATCCCTTGTCTGTTCATGTGCTCAATACAACCAACTAAAGACTTCCCACCCTTTCACCCCTCTCAACCCAACCCCATCCCTTCAATCAGCTCAAGGCGCTCCACATGTACGACTGCCTGAGGGCCAACAAGGCCACGTCAGCATGGGGGCTGGAGGCGCGTGTGCCCTTTCTGGATAAGGAATTTCTTGACGTGGCAATGAGCATTGATCCTCAGTATAAGATGATTCGCAAAGAGGATGGGCGCCTCGAGAAGTGGGTCATTCGACGGGCCTTTGACGACGAAGAGAAGCCGTACCTCCCTAAGGTAAATCAAAGCCTCATTCTTATCACAAAGCACTCGCTTAGTCTCTCCCCATTCCTATCACAAAGCACTCGCTTAGTCTCTCCCCATTGCTATCACAAAGCACTCGCTTAGTCTCTCCCCATTCCTATCACAAAGCACTTACGTAGTCTCTCCCCTTACCCGCATTGACTAGTGGGTCATCCGACGGGCCTTTGACGACGAGGAGAAGCCATATCTCCCCAAGGTAATACAAGCCTAACCCGCCTCTCTATCACATAACACTCCCTTAGTCTCACCCCTTACCCGCATTGACTAGTGGGTCATCCGACGGGCCTTTGACGACGAGGAGAAGCCATATCTCCCCAAGGTAATACAAGCCTAACCCGCCTCTCTATTTCAAAGCACTCCCTTAGTCTCTCCCTTTGCCAGCATTGACTAGTGGGTCATCCGACGGGCCTTTGACGACGAAGAGAAGCCGTACCTCCCCAAGGTAAATCAAAGCCACATTCTTATCACAAAGCACTCGCTTAGTCTCTCCCCATTCCTATCACAAAGCACTCGCTTAGTCTCTCCCCATTCCTATCACAAAGCACTTACGTAGTCTCTCCCCTTACCCGCATTGACTAGTGGGTCATCCGACGGGCCTTTGACGACGAGGAGAAGCCATATCTCCCCAAGGTAATACAAGCCTAACCCGCCTCTCTATCACATAACACTCCCTTAGTCTCTCCCCTTACCCGCATTGAGAAGTGGGTCATCCGACGGGCCTTTGACGACGAAGAGAAGCCGTACCTCCCCAAGGTAATACAAGCTTAAACTCGCCTCTCTACCACATGACACTCCTTAGTCTCTCCCCTTGCCAGCATTGAGAAGTGGGTTATCCGACGGGCCTTCGACCACGAGGAGAAACCCTACCTCCCCAATGTAACTAGAGGATGTGGGACATTCGACGGGCCTTTGATTCTGACTGAAAAATGGAGATCAGTATGCTTTTTTTTTTTTTTTTTTTTGCCTGACCTGGAAAAAAAGAAGCCGGATTCTCCCACGTTGTGCCCTTGCGCTCGTTTGACCCGAGTCTCTTCTTTCTGCTTGTTTTCAACACCTCTCCCCTCTTCTTCTTCTCCCACCTTCTCATCCGGTTCCCTTTTCTGTCCCCCTTAACAGCACATCCTCTACCGCCAAAAGGAGCAGTTCAGCGATGGCGTGGGGTACAGCTGGATTGATGGTCTCAAGGCACATGCGGAGCGCATGGTGTCAGACCAAATGCTCGCCAACACTCCCAACCTCTTCTCCGCTTCTCTGCTCTTCTGCTCCTCTAATCCTCTGCTCCCCTGCTCCCCTGCTACCCTCTCTCCCCTGTTCCTGTCCCCTTTACCAGCATATCCTCTACCGCCAAAAGGAGCAGTTCAGTGACGGCGTGGGGTACAGCTGGATTGATGGTCTCAAGGCGCATGCGGAGCACATGGTGTCAGATCAAATGATGGCCAACGCTCCCAACCTCTTCACACACAACACGCCAAAGACCAAGGAGGCCCTGTTCTACCGCCTCATATTCGAGAAGCACTTCCCACAGGTATGTGAGGCTCACAACCTTTGACGCCTATTCACACCTCTTCACGCACAACATACCAAGGAGGCCCTCTTCTACCATCTCATCTTCGAAGAACACTTCCCTCAGTTATATGAGAGATTTCACATCTCATCACACCTCACCTCACCTGCTCATCTAATCACGGCAGCAGCTGTAGCATGGGATGCTTCGTCGTGGAAAAGTTCTAATCAAGTATTCCCCCCCCGTCCTCTTCCAATCCACCCTCTTACTGCTACAGCTTTCCGCTCGTCTGACTGTCCCTGGAGGCCCCAGCATCGCCTGTAGCACGGCGGCGGCTGTAGGATGGGATGCTGCCTGGCAGGAATTCTCTAATCACTCTCTCCTTCTCTCCCTCCTCACCTCCCTTTCCCTCTGCCACAGCTCTCTGCTCGTCTGACCGTCCCTGGAGGTCCCAGTGTCGCCTGTAGCACGGCGGCGGCTGTAGCATGGGATGCTGCCTGGCAGGAATACTTTAATCACTTTCTCCTTCTCTCCCTCCTCACCTCCCTTACCCTCTGCTACAGCTCTCTGCTCGTCTGACTGTCCCTGGAGGCCCCAGTGTCGCCTGTAGCACGGCGGCGGCTGTAGCATGGGATGCAGCCTGGCAAGGCAACCTGGACCCTTCTGGCCGTGCTGCTCTGGGCGTGCATGCTGCTGCTTATAACGAGGATGCAGCTGGTAACCAGAAGGCTGGTAACCGTGTGACAACGTGTGTGGAGCAGGCAGGAGTGGTGGTGGGGGGTGGGAGCAGTGGGAAGAGGAGTCAGGGGGAGGAGGGGCAGCAGCCTGAGTCGCCTCCTAAGAAGAAAAAGACGGACCTTGTGATGCCGTATCTGGCTGCAGCATAAGCTGTAGCCGTCCGGAAGCATGCCTAGGCTGTTGCTGAAGCCAATGTAGGCATAGCTGTAGCAGGAGGCACCACCTACATGGGTGGTGGTGCTGTATCTGCTATGGTCCAATTTTGACCCAGGGAAATGGTTCAGACCAGCAATTTTGATCTGCAAGTGTGATGGTTCAGTTTTGACCTGGTATGTATGGTGTGTACACCTCACTTGGGTGTAATATGCTATCCTACCCTTTGATGCAAAAAGTTTCTCTTCTTTTTGTGTCTGTCTTGTATATCTTCAAGCTAGTACCGTACTTGTGTGCTTGCACCAACAAACTCTCCACGCAAATGGTTCCTGGGGCTGATAATTGCTGGTTGACAAGGAAGCTGAGCTGCAATTGCATTATTTTACAGCAAGAGAACATACAATATTAGCACAGATTATTCTCCCTCTCCATCTTCACGCTCCATCACTAAAAACAGTTCCTCAACCTCACTCAAGAAATTTGGTAACTCAGCCTCACTTAAAGTTGACTCAACCTCACACAGAGTTGACTCAGCCTCACTCAGAGTTGACTCTGCCTCACACAGAGTTGACTCTGCCTCACTCAGTGTGACTTCGCCTCACTCAGAGTGACTCAGCCTCACTCAGAGTTGACTCAGCCTCACTTAAGAGTTGACTCAGCATCACTCAAAGAGTTTACTCAACCTTTCTCATAGAGCTAGCTCAGCCTCAGTCAGACTTTACTCAGCCTCACTCATACTCTAGAGCTCTCTCAGCCAGACATGCTCCCTCATGATTACCCAGCCTTACATCCTCACTCTCAGCCTTACATCCTCACTCTCAGCCTTACATCCTCACTCTCAGCCTTACATCCTCACTCTCAGCCTTACATCCTCACTCTCAGCCTTACATCCTCACTCAGAGAGGTGACTCAGCAGCAAGTCTACCGTCGATGTCAGAAATGAGCGATCCATCCTGACATACATCGTCTGCTCCCTTCCCATGCCTTCCGCACAGTAAGATCTGCCTTGGTTCCTTCAGCATATGGGGTGTGAAAGATAAGCAAGCGGGAGGCTGTACAGATCATGGCTGCTGCAGCTCCATTCACGACAAATACATCATCACATTTTCTCGGCATTAAGGATGAAAGGGTAACCTTGCTCGTAGTACTTCATCCATTCTTCTCTTTCCAATCTGGCGTTACGCTCCCCCTTGTCATACCGGCGACTACAGCGCGATTGTGAAGTCGGACCGCTCATTCCAATGTTGCTCGTACTTACGAACTGCTTATACTTACGATCTGCTGTCTGTTCCTCTTCCCTCCTATCATGCAAAGGACAGCTCAGAGAGCGTGAATCGAATCAATTTCTGCTGATCGACGCTGACTCAAAGGCCGACGTGTTAATCCGCAGCGAGCTAGCGCGGATCACGCTGCGCGTGCAATCCGTTAACTGCTGCGGTAATCCGTCAGGAAGGTAATCCATTCTACGCGATGTATAAGCACGAGTTAAGAACGTGATGTTTGAAAGCTGCGACTTAAAAGGAATAGTATTTCACGGCTAAGCTGGACAATCGTTCGGCTGTTCCGTGAATGGCGTTGTTGAACCGTGAAGGTTTGTTATATTAGCTGCGGTAATCGAGCAGAGTAACTTTCGATCCGTGTCAGACACTTTAGTTGTAAAGAACAACGCCAAGAACTAATTAGTACGCTGAGTAATCGTAAAACATATATATTTAGAAGCAGATGTACAAGACCTAATCGATGCGCCACGTTCTAGAAGCGTCAATCGCGAAGTTGTAGAAGTAAGAACACTTATCTTCAGATCCTCCTCAGCTGCTCGCCCTTGAAACGCTTGAAACGACTTGGAAGTTGTTGAGATCCAAAGCTGCTCGCCTTTCTTCTTGACCCCTCTTGGCCGCTAGAGGCAAATGCCTCTAGCGTTACACCCGCACACCACGTTGAGGTGAGGGTCATTCGTGCGGGGACCCTGTTTGGGAGGGGTGGGGACGGGAAAAAAAAACTGAAAAAGGAAGGGAGGGTTAAAATTAACGATTAAAAAGAATCAGCGCAAGCAGAAGCTCCTCGGTCGGTTGCCAGAAGTTGCCAGGTTGAGCGGTGGGAGGGAATCGAGGAGGAGGAGAGTGGCCCAAAAAAATCCCCCCAAACCCAAAAACCATCCCAAATAAGCTACCCAGAAAATCTACCCAAAAAACCCCCAAAACCCCCAAAAGTCCCAAAAAGGTCGGTGGCCGATGCGAAACCTGGGGAAGCGACGGGGACAGGGGGAGGGGCGTGGGGGGGTGGGGGTGGTGTCAAACACCGTGCTCACTCCTATCTCCGCGCTCGCCTCTGATCCGCCGTGCGCCGTACGCCGCACCAGCGCCATACGCCCGCGATTTCCGCCGAAACGCCGCCGCGTCGTCGCGCTACTGCACCGCGCTCGTTCCGGCCTCTCTGCACCACAGGCAACGACAGAAAACGTTAGATATTTTGGAAAACAAAAACGACGAGTAAAAGCGACGACACCTCACAGGGCTGAGCTGTCGTTGACGTCGGCGTAGACGTTGACGTTGACGTTGACGCCGGACGGGTCAGTGGGAAGCGAGAGGGGGCGGCGGAAGAGGGTATCCAGGCGGGGGCTGCCCTTCACCACCCTCTCCGCCACCCCCCGCCCCCCTCGCTCCCACAACCCCGCCGGTTCTTCCCCGCAAGCTTCTGAAACTGCGCACAGGGCGAAGCAACGGCATCACGGTACCACGGCAGAGACAAACGCCACAACCAACAAAGCGCGAAAAAGGAAAAGCGCGAAAAAACGCGTAAGTACTGAAACATGAAGGAGGGAATATCACCAAAATAGTCGCCTCTGACAACGCGACATCCGCCGTGCCGTCGCGCCATACGCCAGCGATTCGCGCGAGACGCCCCGCCGACGCGCCATACACCCACGATTCCCGCCAAACGCGGATCGTATCTAGGAAACTGAGCACATGGCGAAGCAACGGCATCACGGTACCACGGTAGAGACACGCACAACCAACGAGAAACATACAAGAAAACGACGAAAAAACGACAAAAAACGATGAAAAAAACGCGAAATAACACGAAGGAGAGGGATTAGGAGGAAATCACCAACTGAGTCGCCTCTGATCCGCCATGCGCCGGCGTGCGCCGCACCATACACCGCACCAACGCGCCATACGCCCGTGATATCCGCCAAACGCCGTCGTTCGCGCCATACGGCCGCGAGACCCGGCGGCGCCATAGAAACTGCTCACATGGCGAAGCAACGGCATCACGGTACCACGGCAGAGAGAAATGCACAAGCAACAAAAAAACGGCGGAAAAACGACGAAAAAAACGACGAAAAAAGCGACAAAAAAACGAGGAAAAACACGAAGGAGAAGGAAGAGGAGTGCATCACCAACATAGTAGTCGCCTCGGATCCGCCATGCGCCGTACGCCGTACGCCGCACCGCGCCAACGCGCCAAACGCCCGCGAGACCCGCCGTCGCCACGAGCTCCCTCTCCCGCCGTGTTGGAAACTGATCACATGGCGACTCGCAACGGTATCACGGTACCACGGCAGAGAGAAACGCACAAGAAACGAGAAAATCGACGGGAAAAACGACAAAAAAACGATGAAAAAAAGCGAAATAACACGAAGGAGCGGGAGGAGGACAGAGTCACCAACGTAGTCGCCTCTGATCCGCCATGCGCCGCACCATACACCGCGCCAACGCGCCATACGCCCGCGATTTCCGCCAAACGCCGCGCCGTCGCGCCATACACCCGCGTGACGCGCAAAACGCCCGCGAGACCCGCCGGTACCGCCACGAGCTCCCTCTTCCCGCCGTGTTAGAAACTGCTGACATGGCGAAGCAACAGCATCACGGTACCACGGCAGAGAGAAACGCACAAGCAACGAAAAAACGACGAGAAAAAACGAAAAAAGCGACGAAAATACGATGAAAAACACGACGGAGGAGGAGAAGGAGTCTATCACCACCATAGTAGTCGCCTCTGATCCGCCCATACGCCCGCGATTCCCGCCGAAACGCCGCGACGTCGCGCCATACACCCGCGAAGCGCGCCAAACGCCCGCGAGACCCGCCGGAGTCATGAGCTCGCTCTCCCGCCGTGTTGGAAACTGCTCACATGGCGAACCAACGGCATCGCGGTACCACGGCAGAGAGAAACGCACAAGCAACGAAAAAACGACGGAAAGAAAACGAAAAAAACGACGACAAAACGATGAAAAAACGAGAAATAGTACGAAGGAGACGGAGGAGGAGCGAATCACCAACGTAGTCGCCTTTGATCCGCTGTGCGCCGTGCGCCATACGCCCGCGGTTCCCGCCGAAACGCCGCGCCCTCGCGCTACACACCCGCGGGAAACGTCAAGTGACCCGCCGAGGCGCCATGCACCCGCGAGGCGCGCCATAGACCGGACCAACGCGCGTTCCGTCTCCCTCCTTCTCGCGCTCCTGCGGCACATCACTAAGGGACAAAACACAATAGGAAGAACGTTAGTTTCTTGAAAACAAAGGAGCTAAACAGAATTGACGGCACTTACCAATTAAGGGAGGTACTCCCGTCAATGATCGTTGACGTAGACGTTGACGTTGACGTTGACGCCGGACGGTTCAGTGGGAAGCGAGAGGGGGCGGCGGAAGAGGGTATCCAGGCGGGGGCTGCCCTTCACCACCCTCTCCGCCACCCCCTGCCCCCCTCGCTCCCACATCCCCGCCGGTTCTTCCTTAAAAGCTTCTTGGAAACTGCGCACATGGCGAAGCAACGGCATTAAAACTGGAAAGCAGACGAAGAGAAATGGAAGCGACGAAAACGTGGAGAACCAGCGAGAAGAAGTGCCGGGAGAAGCGCCGGGAGAACCGCCGGGAGAAGCGCCGGGAAAGAGCCGGGAAGCAACGCGGCATACGTCCGCCGTGTGTCATCTGCTGTTCGCCGTGCGCCGTGCGCCGTGCACATGAAGAACTGCCACGCGACGTGCCATACACCCGTATGCCAATGCGCGCCCCATGCGACGCGCCGGCGTAGCCGTGCGTCGCCGTCGCCGTTCTGCAGGAAGCGAGGAACACGGAAACTTGAAGCTAGAAAAATTTCGTAAATAAACTTGAAGAAATGTCGCGTATCATGAAAACAAGGAAACACGTTACCTCATACAGAGCGAGGCGCTGCTGGTGAGGCATCAGCCGTCAAAGAATCCGCTTGCGACGTGAGACTCGCCGTCGCCGTCCGCCGTTTGCGACGTGCGAAGGCTCTTCACCGTTCGGCGCTGCTGGTGGGCCATCAGCCGGCGCCGTTCGTTTGCGACGCGAGCCATGTCGTCGCCGTCCGCGTGCGACGTGAAAAACGCCATCGTTTGTCGTCAACGGCCTCGCCGTCGGTATAAGCGTCTGCGAGGCCAAAGAAACTGTCGGCGAGGTCTGCAGGAAGACAAGAACACACGTTAGTACAAGAAAGAAATGGGTAAAGAGAAAGAAAATAGAAAAAAGATCTATTGACGAAATGCTCTTGAAAGTCAACTCACTCCACTATCATCGGCGCATTCACATGCGGAAGCTCCGCAAGCGGCGAACTTGGCAGCGAAAGCTCCGCAATCATGACGGGGAAAGCTCCAGTCGGCGGCTAAGGTTCCGCGATTACGACTGGAAAAGCTCCAGTCGGGGATCTTGAATAAGGCTTCAAGGAACTTTGACTTGAAGGCTCCAGTCGGCGGCGAAGGTTCCGCCATTACGACGGGAAATGCTCCAGTCGGGGATCTTGAATCAGGCCTTAAAAATCTTGACTTGAATGCTCCAATCGGCGGCGAAAGCTCCAGCCGTCTGCAGGAAAACAAGGACCGAGTTAGAGCCACGTCTTTCGAAAATTCAAGTATAAAGCGTAAGTAGGAAGAGGTGCGGACTGTTTCAGAGCTTAACCGGCGAAAAACGGTTATAAACAACAGGTTACCTCCAATCGAGCGACGATGGAGGTTCCGCCAGCAGCCACTCGAGCCACCGGAGCACCATCGGAGTGCCATCGGAGCGCCTTCATAGACTTCCAGGGCTTAAAATCCTCGGAACGGCGTTAGCTCCAGTCGGCGGCCAAAACTCCGCGACTACAATCGCGAAGCTCCGCGATTACGACGGCGAAGCTCCGCGATTACGTTGGCGAGAGATTCAGTCGGCGGCAAGATGGTCCCCTGCAAGAAAACGAGGACATGCGTTAGAACTTATCAATAATAAAATATTTGCGAAAAGAATTTAAAAGCTGCATATTTATCAGAGCTTAACCTGCAAAAACGGCTCAAGAAAGATGTTGGGAAATATTGCTTACCTCCACTTGAGCGACGGGAGATGCCGCGGAGCCTTTGGAGCGCCATCGCCGTTGGAGCGCCATCGCCGTTGGAGCGCCATCGCCGTTGGAGCGCCATCGCCATCGGAGCGCAAGGGAGACCTCGCCATCAGAGCGTTATCGGAGCAAGGAGAGCACTTCCAAAGACTTTGCGGGAGAGTCGCGCCAGCAGGGAACGTCGGCGTGAAGACTTTGCCGCATAGAAACTCCGGCCATTGAAGCTCGTGCAGTGGCGAGTTGAGAAGGGGGACCTCGCCGCGATGATTTCGCCGTGAAGGATCTTGGCGTGAAGATCACGTCGAGAACATCGCGCCGCGAAGAGATTGTAGCAGAGACCTCGCCGCGAGAAATCATGGCGTGAAGGTCTCGTAGACATAATCTCGCCCCGTTGAACTTGCGGAGGAGATTTCTTAGATGTCGCGGTAAAGGGATTGCCGCGAAATTTTGGCGTAGTACACGGTTCGGCACCAAGGCAGCAGCAGCTCGCTCAGACACTCTAATCTACCCAACCCACCCCACACCCATCTCATCTAATCTACTCGACCTCACGCTGCCTCATGCCCTAGTGCTTCCCCATGTACTAGCCGCGAGGCTTCAGGTAAGTTGACTTGATTTGCTCCGCGGAGCTTGTATCCTGAAGTCCGAATCGAGCTCATTGGGACTGAGCTTTTCGAAAGTCCTTCATTGATATCGGGAAGGAATTAGTCGGAAAAGAAGGTTGAGAATGAGACTTGGTAAGTTATGAAGAAAGGGATGGGTTGATCGATGGAGTTGCCTGCAAAAGCAGACTGCTGCTGGATGAAAGAATTCGTTTGTTGAGTTTGGTATGTGGCGGCCGCGCGGTGCGTCTCAGCGCGGGGTCCACCCAAATGTGGTGGCTCTTTAGGCTCGAATAGCTGATTGCAGTGCGGTACAACACGGCGCGGTTCGTCTTGCGCTGGTTCATTGCGGGAATGAATAACACTCGGCTGGGTTGCGCGGTGCGGGGAAAGAAGCGATATGCTATGAATGGATGGACGGATGGTGGTGGAGTAGCTGCCGCGCAACGGTGACGATTTTGCCGTGCCATGAGGTGCGGCTGTGCTTGTGACGGATTGCGCGGCGGGGCCAGAAACTCCCCGCTTAGGAAATGTCAGAAGATTCTCTCGACAGGAGATTCTGAGCGGCGCTTCGGGAATGCTTGGGGTGACATTCGAGGTTCAAAATTTTGAGCTGACGTCATGCAGGTTCCAAACCAAGTTGTACACTCCTTTCACAGGTTGCTAAGTTCTGTTTTGTTTGAATTCACAACGTTGGTTTTCCTTGTGATGTTGCTAACGAGGTTACCCATGGCGCGTACATTGTGGGGTTGGCCTACCGAGCAGCGCCGATTTGCAACAAGGGTCGGGCTAGGGCAGCCTAGAACTTTTTCTAGGAGGCTGTAGGCATGGCACTTTTCTAACTAGATGAACTTTTGCGTGAGGTGCGGGACGGCGTTGGCGTGGTTAGTAAGTTCGTGCGTGGCGCGGGAAGTTCAGCATTTTTTTCTGGGGTCAAATCTCGCTTTCTGAACTTGACCTGGGCAGTTGAAAAGATAAGGGGTGATCAATGTGATTGACGCGAGCCAATAGGGGATGACGTGCGTTTTTGTCACCCTCGCACAACCACCATCGCATTGAATCAACAACCTGAACCTCACAATATCCCACCTACCATACCTAATTTCATTGTCTCGACATACCTAGTTATAGTAGTAAGGGTGTGACTCACCTTAGTCCCGCCAGCGAACATTAGTACTCCCATCACTTTATTATCTTCAACTGTAATTTCTAGTTTTTGGTTTGGTTAGATCAGAGCGCGGTTGTCAGTATTACGTGCAGCCTCGCATCGTGTATCTACGAGTTATTGCCAACACCGTAACTAGTTTTGGTCCCGCTGTAAGTCGAACGCCCATGTTCGCCGCTTCGCACGTGTAGTGCCGTAACTAGTATTAGCATCAAATCCCGATAAGGTACCTTTTGTTGCCCGCTCGTTTGTTCGTATGCGGACGGATTGATATCCTCGATTTACGGACGCGTTAGAAGCGTTCTTGAGACATGTGGGATGTATGACATCTGGAGGCACGAGCAGCGTGCGTCGTGAAGGTAAGACGACGGCGGTAGCGACGGCAGGTGACGAAGCCAATGCGCAGTAGCCTGGAGGCCGTTGGATCCTGAAGCGCCGAAGATCTGCAATGAGAAGATCTGCAATGTAATATTGAAACATGAGAGCGTGGTTTGCTGCTGCGATCTGCAATGTGAAATAGAAAGAATTCACCGAGCATGAGATCTGCAATGTGCAATAAGATCTGCACGACCTGAAGCTGGGCGTGACCTGGCGGAGCGTGTTGACAGGCGGAGCGGCCGCTTTCCCCTTATTTTCTCCCTTCCCCTCCCCCCGCGTTCGTCCCCCTCCTTCCCCTCCTTTCCCTCTCCTTGCCCCTTCCTTTCCCCCTTCTTCCCCCCTTCTTCCTCCTACCTTCCCCTCTCTTCCTCGTGTCCCTCATTCCGCCCTGACCCTCAATCTCTTAGAAACGTTATGCATCCCTCATCACCTCAGCTCTCTCCTCATCACCCCAGCTCTCTCCTCATCACCCCAGCTCTCTCCTCATCACCCCAGCTCTCTCCTCATCACCCCCACTCTCCCATTATTATCCCCACTCTCCCCTCATCTCCCCCGCTCTCCCCTCTTTTTCCCAGCTCTCTCCGCATTGCCCCCGCTGTCTCCTCTTCGCCTAGCGCTCCCCCAAATCCCCTGCGCTCTCTTCTTATCTCCCGTTTGTCACTTTTCCTTCCCCTTTACCTACCCGTTCCATATCCTCTCCATTCGCCCCTCGTTATTCCATCTCTCTTCCTTCCCCCCTCCTTCCCCCAGCCCCCCGTCTCTCCTTCCTACTCTTTCCTCTTGTTGCAATATCAGGCTCTGCAGCATCATGCACAACGCTTACAATCATTCACCCCACATCTCCATCCCCTTACCTACCACCACCACCCTTATCTTCCCTCATCTCCCCTCATCTCCCTCACCCCACATCCCCCTTCCCGCAACCTGACCCTCGGGTACCCCCCCGCCCTCCCTTCACCTATCTTCCGCTGTCATCCCCTCACCTTTCCTGTCTCACCTCATCTCCCCTACGCACTCAGGGCGTGTTCCTACGGCCCCTTATCAGGCCCTCCCCTTATCAAGCTCGCGTCAACACACACTGAAAATTCCCTAAACCCAGAAACCCTCGCTACTTTTACCAGGCAAGGCTGACAAGAGGTTTGCCTGATAAGAGCGTAGGAACAAGCCCTCACTCTGATCTGGCACGTGGCTGCATGTGATGTGATTGGTTGCCTTTGCAGCCTCAGATATGTCTTTTTTGATTCATGGTCTGACACGTGGCTGCATTTGATTGGCTGGCAACAAGGCCCTCGAGATTCAGCTGTTAGTTCAGTTATTTATGGGATGAAGTGCGTGTTGGAATTTGCTATGACCTCTCAAGCCCAGCTCTCAGGCTGTTGGAATAAATTCTATGTGTCAACACTCCTAAAGTCAACATGTTAATTTCTTTCTGTGTTGCTGAGATATTGAAGATGGCAAAATACAGCACATGGCAAACTCTGCACTATTTCAAGTGCTTTTTGAGTAGGTTGTATAATCCTAAGGATGTTACCTCCTCTACACCTAGGAGCTGTTGCAATTCTCCATCCACTCTAAATCGAGCCAGCCGCCCTCCTCCCACTTCCACCTTCTTCCCCTGCTCCTTGATCCGCTGCCACACTTGCTGACCCGCCTCTTTGAGAGTTATGCTGTCATTCTATCAGAGCAGCAGAGGGAGGGAAGGAGGGAGTGGTGGAAGGATGAAGCAACAAAACGAGAATAATTCACCACCTTCTCCTGCTCCTTGATTCGCTGCCACGCCACACGTGCAGACCTGCCTCGTTGAGAGTTACGTTTCCACCCTGCAGGAAAAGTAGAGGGATGGGGTATGGCTTATGGAGAGGGATAGACCGCTGGGCAGATGGATTGATGGATGGGCGGACATAAGTCATGGATGGATGCACTCTTAAACCCCAATATGGATGATGTATGTATAGATGGATGATGGATAGATGCGTACATACATCTTAAAACCCCAATACTTCCCCTCATGCCCTCACCTCGAACCCCAGAAATTCCTTGAGCATTGGGGACGGTTGTTTGGCTCCAGATTCCTCTTTCCCTGAGCTAATACCTGCCTCGTTTCCACCACCTCTCGCCACGGCCTTCACAGTTGCTCCTTTTTGCTTTGCTGCTCGACCTACACCCGCTGCTCCTGCTGCTCCCGCTGATCCCGCTGCTCCCACTGCCCCTGCTCCTGCTCCTGCTGCTCTTCCTGCTTTTGTTGCTGCTGCTCCTCCTATTCCTGCTGAGTCATGCCCTGCGTCTTCCTGCTGAGACCTGTCCCCCTCACTATCAACGATCTCCATATGCTGCGATAGCAGCTTCGGCAGCCCGAAGAAATGAGCTGAGTCAACCCCAAAGAGAGCCCTCAGCTTGTCGTCAAACGCTGCTGTGTTGGGTCCCGCTTGAAGGCTGTTGGCCTTGACGTAGCTCCACACGAGGCTCGTTGCTTCGAGAATGCTCAGCCGCTCGTGCTGTGGGGACATGGAAGGAAGGTAAGGAAGGGAGGGAGGGAGGGAGGGAGTGAGGCAAGTAGCACAGGGAAGCCTCAGCTTGTCATCAAACGCTGCTGTGTTGGGTCCGGCCTTCAGGTTGTTGGCCTTGACGTAGCTCCAACAAGGCTCGTTGCTTCAAGGATGCTCAGCTGCTCGTGCTGTGGGGAGGGAGGGGAGGGGAGCAAGGGAGGGAGGCAAGTAGCACACAGAAAGAAGGGAAGGCTGCTGTTTTGGGCTTGGCTTGAATGTTGTTGGCCTTGACGTAGCTCCACACGAGGCTCGTTGCTTCAAGAATGCTCAAGTGCTCGTGCTGTGGGGACATAGAAGGGAGGGGGGTTGGAGAGAGCAGACGAAATGTGAGGAACGAGTGAATGCTGTGACAGTTGTCAGAATGAGAGGCACTGGGCTGGCCTTGAAGAAATGGGCCGAGTCAACCCCAAAAAGTGACTTTTGAGTCGACCTAAAGAGCGACTTTTGAGTCGACTCAAAAGTCGAGAGCAGATAAATTGTGAGGAACGAGTGACCGCTGTGGCAGTTGTCAACAAGAGGGGCATTGGGCTGGTGTTGAAGAAATGGGCCGAGTCAACTTTTGAGTCAACTCAAAAGTCAGCTCGAAATGTGAGGAGCGAGTGACCGCTGTGGGAGTTGTCAGAAAGAGGGGCACTGGGCTGGCCTTGAAGAAATGGGCCGAGTCAACACCCAAAGAGCGCCCTCAGCTTGTCGTCAAAGGCTGCTGAGTGGCACACAGAAAGGAGGGACCGGATATGAGGTTGTGGGCTTTGATGTAATTCCACACAAGGCTCGTTGCTTCAAGAATGCTCAGCTGCTCGTGCTGTGAGGAGGAAAGGCTCCAGCTATAAGGTTGTGGGCTTTGATGTAATTCCACACAAGGCTAGTTGCTTCAAGGATGCTCAGCTTCTCGTGTTGGGAAAGGGAAGGGAGGGAGGGAGAGACGGTGAAAGGAATCAAGAGGGACCAACCGTTCCCCACCGTTCTCAGAAGTTTCAAGGCTCAAGAAATGTTTGACATGCGTCCACACACTTGTTGCTTCAAGAGTGCTCAGCTTTTCAAAGAACGGTACCAGCCGTTCTCCACCATTCTCAACCGTTTCTTATCCATGCTCACCTCTTTTCTATATATCTCCTTCAGTTGCTCCAATGACCTTCAGTGAAGTTGCTTCAGACGTGCAAGCTCCACTGCTCCCTCGCATCCTTGAAATGCCTAGATTGTGCGACCTTCAATTTTCAACCGATCTGAACCGTTCTCAACCGTTTTCAAGCATTCTCAAACCACACTACATCCACTCACCTCTTTCCCAATGATTTCCTTCAGTTGCTCAGACGGCCTTCCGGGAAGCGGCTTCAGACACGCAAGCTCTGTTGCTCCTTTGCATCCTTATGATAAAAAATATCCATACCAAGCATGTTCGACCACTGTGAACCGTTCTTAACCCACACCAACATCCACTCACCTCCTTCCCAATGATCTCCTTCAGTTGCTCAGACGGCCTTCTGGGAAGCTGCTTCAGACGCGCAAGCTCCATTGCTCCTCTGTTTCCTTTCACATCCTTGCTCCGTTTCCCTGATACAGCAGCTTCCTTTCCTACTGTAGAAGCTTCCCTCCCCACTTTTGAAGCTTCCTTCCCCACTTTGAAGCTTCCTTCCCCACTTGAGCAGCTTCCGTTCCCACTTGAGAAGCTTCCTTACCCACTTGAGAAGCTTCTTTCCCAACTTGAGCAGCTTCTTTCCCCACTTGAGCAGCTTCTGTTCCCACTTTAGAAGCTTCCTTCCCCAATTGCGCAGCTTCCCCCCCCACTTGAGAAGCTTCCTTCCCCGCTTCTCTAACTTCCTGCATGTGCGGGAGCAGCAGCCCCGGCACTCTCGAGGAATTAGCCCCGTCAACCCCAAAGAGAGCCCTCAGCTTGTCGTCAAAGGCTGCTGTGTGTTTTCCCGTCTTGAGGTTGTGGGCTTTCACATAGTTCCAGACCAGCCTTGTTGCTTCAAATATGCTCAGCTGCTCGTGCTGCAGGATGGAGGGGAGGAGACGGGAAGGGAGGGGAGGGGAGGGGAGACGAGGGAGAGAGTGAGGCAAGGCAAGTAGAACAGGGAGGGGAGGGGAGGCGAGGGAGGGAGTGAGGCAGGGCAAGTAGAACAGGGAGGGGAGGGGCCAAGTCTTGAGGTTCCTGCTCCCTAACCCATTCCAACCACTCTCAACCATACCGAAACTTCTTAACCCACACTCACCTCCTTCCCTATAATCTCATTCAGCTGTTCCGACAGCCTCCTGGGAAGCCGGTTCCGCCGTGCAAGCTCTGCTCCTGCTTGGCTTGCTCTCAATCCTAAGTTTCCTCATTCTATTGCCAACCTACTCCAACCATTCTCAACCACTCTCAACCGCACTCAACCCACGCTCACCTCCTTCCCAATGATCTCCTTCAGTTGTTCCAACGGCCTTCTGTGAAAGCCGGTTCGTCCACGCAAGCTCTGCTCCTCCTTTGCGCGCTCTGGTTCTCGACCGCTATTAACCGCTCACGGCCGATTTCAACCTACATAAATCTCACTCACCTCCTTTCCCGATGATCTCCTTTAGCTGTTCCAACAGCCTTCTGAAAAGCCGGTTCCTCCGTGCAAGCTACGCTCCTCCTTGGCTTCCTCTCGATTCTTATTTTCCTAGTTCCATTGCCAACCCACTCCAACCATTCTCAACCACTCTCAACCGTTCTCGACCAGCACTCACCTCTTTCCCAATGATCTCCTTCAGCTGTTCAGACGGCCTTCTGAAAAACCGATTCCGCCGTGCAAGCTCTCAACCACTCTCAACCGTTCTCGACCAGCACTCACCTCCTTCCCAATGCTCTCCTTCAACTGTTCCGACGGTCTTCTAAGAAGCCGGTTCCGCCGTGCAAGCTCTGCTCCTCCCTTGCTTCCCCTGCTCCTGCTGCTCCATCCATTTTAACCATTCTCAACCGTTCCCAAGTGCTGCCTGCCACCAGCACTCACCTCCTTCCCAATGATCTCCTTTAGCTGTTCCGACGGCCTCCTGGGAAGCCGGTTCCGCCGTGCAAGCTCCGCTCCTGCTTGGCTTGCCCATGCTTTCAATCTCTGCTGCTTCTGCTGAAGCTTAACCTCTCGAGCCGTCTCCCCCTTCCCCTTCTCCCCCTCTCCCTTCTCCTCGGCCCCGGTACCCCCTCTCTCCCGGTCCTCCTCTCCTGCTTGGCTTGCCCATGCTTTCAATCTCTGCTGCTTCTGCTGAAGCTTAACCTCTTGAGCCGTCTCCCCCTTCCCCTTCTCCCCCTCTCCCTTCTCCTCGGCCCCGGTACCCCCTCTCTCCCGGTCCTCCTCTCCTGCTTGGCTTGCCTCTGCTGCTTCTGCTGCAGCTTAACCTCTTGAGCCGTCTCCCCCTTCGCCTTTTCCCCCCTCCTGGTATCCCCTCTCTCCTGATCCCCCTCCCCTCCTTCCCCAGCCGCTTTTCCCTCCTTCCCACCCTCCTCTCCAGCCTCCAAAACTGTCTTCACCATGCTCCTCCCAACTGCCTTGCTTTCTTGCTTTCTAGGCCTTTTCACCTTGATTACTTCTTGACCAGATTCTTCCCCCTCCACTATGCTAGCTTCCCCTGCTACCTCCCTCATCTCCTCCCCTTCCTCCTTCTTGCTCTTTCTCACCCTCACCGCCTTCCCTCCATTCCCCACTTCACCAGCTCCCATCCCTCCCCCTTTCACCTCAACCTGCTTTTGAGGCGCCTCAAAAAAAGACTCCTCCTCCTTGCTCTTTGTTGCTCTCACCGCCTTCTCTCCTTTCCCCGCTTCACCAGCCCCCATCCCTTCCCCTTCCAACTCCTCCTGCAGCATCGTCTCTCCCTTCACCTCCCCGCTTGCCTTGCTCACTCTTTTCCTCCCTTCTACAGAAACCTCCTCTTCCTTCTTGCCCCTTTTTACTCTCACCTTCTTCTCTCCTTTTCCTGCTGCATCAGCACCCATCGTCTCCTCCCCCACCTCCTCCTGCAGCTTCGTCTCTCCCATCACCTCCTTGCTTGCCTTGCTTCTCCGCTTTCCCTCCTCTCCCTTCTCGTCCTTCCCAGTACCTTCCTTCGCATCTTTCCCTGCCGTTTTCTGATCCTTTGTGCTTGTTTCTGCTGCACCCGCCTTGCTCCCCTTGCACTCGTTTGCAGCCTTAGAAGCCTTCCCTGACTCTTTCCCTGACCCTTTCCCAGCCTCTGTGCTTGTCCCTGCTGCACCCGCCTTGCTCCCCTTGCCTGCTTTAGCAGCCTTAGCAGCCTTCTTTGCAGCCGCCCTCTCCACTCGTGCCTGCTTCACCTGCAATCGCTCAATGGCGCTCTCTAGAGTCACATCGTGTATACTCACGTTCTGGTGAGGGCGGGAGGGAGCGAGGGAAGGAAGGGGGAGAAATGGGAGAAGGGCGGAAAGAAAGAAAGGGTGAAAAGGGGGAGGGAAGAAGGAAGGAGAGGTGGGAACGATGGGAACGATGGGAGAAGAAAGAAGGGAGTGGTATCAGCTGCCCTCTCTGCCCGTGCCCGCTTCACCTGCAATCGCGCAATGGCGCTCTCTACGGTCACATCGTCTATACTCACGTTCTGGTGAGGGTGGGAGGGAGGGAGGGAAGAAAGAATGGAGAGGAGAGATTGAGTGTGAGGGTATAAAGCGATCTCAGGATCCCTTCTTTGCCGCAGCAGCTACCTGCCCTCTCTGCCCTGCCTCTTTGCTTGCTCCACTGCGCACTTCCTTGAGAGTCCCTTTGGAAGAAAGGAAAAGCAGTTAGGCTCTCTGTTCACACCTATCCCCACACCCTCCCTTTTTAACACACACACCCTTCCTTTTCACCTGCTCATCCTATCACTCTCATCTCACCGTGCCCAGAGATGCTCTGATGAGCCCAATTCCCGGGTGATCATGCTCCACGTAGATCAGCTCACCCGGACTTTTGCAGAGCAGCGCAGCACGGAGGCTCTCTCTCTCTCTCTCTCTCTCTCTCTCTCTCTCTCTCTCTCTCTCTCTCTCTCTCTCTCTCTCTCTCTCTCTCTCTCTCTCTCTCTCTCTCTCTCTCTCTCTCTCTTACCACACCAGCTTTCACACCCCCGTTGCTAAGCTCTCACCGTGCCCAACGATGCTCTGATGAGCCCGATTCCCGGGTGATCATGCTCCACATATAGAAGCCAAAGAGACCATTGCAGAGAGGCACAGTGTATGGCAAAGTCTGTTACAGTAAGCGAGTGTCTCTCTCTCACCGTGCCCAATGATGCTCTGATGAGCCCGATTCCCGGGTGAGCATGCTCCACGTAAAAGCCAAAGGGACCATTGCAGAGGAGTACGGTTCCCCCCTCTGGGTGTGGCCCCTGTGTGTGTGAATGTGCACGAAAGAGGGAGAGAGGGAGAAAGGAAGAGAGGGTAAGAAGAAAAGAGGCTCAAACAGAAAGAGTCACGATGGTTTGAGGGAGGGCGAAGAGGAGAAGGATTGTTGTGGAAAGAGCAGCTGAGGCAGTGCAGTGAATGAACAGGGTTGTGTTGCAAGATGTGTTGAATGAAAGACACTCCCCAAGGCGACCCAAACAAGACCTACGACGGTCCGAGGGAAGGCGAGAAGCTCAAGGGCCTTGGGAAGATCAACTGTGTCTGGGTGTGTGCCCTGGAAGAGGGAGGAAATGACAGAGGAGGGAGTAGGACAGGACAGGCAGGGAAGGCGGAGTGCTGTCCATGAGGGCGAGAAGGCGAGAAGCTCGAGGGCCTTGGGAAGATCAACTGTGTCTGGGTGTGTCCCCTGGGAGGGACGCCCGGACGGGGGAAGGGGACAGGAGAGGCGGGGAAGGAGGAGTGGGAGGGGCGCACATGAGAAGGTGAGGGCAGAAGGCGAGAAGCTCGAGGGCCTTGGGAAGATCAACTGTGTCTGGGTGTGTGCCCTGGGAGAAAGAGGAGGATATAGGGCAGGACAGGCAGGGAAGGGGACAGGACAGGCAAGGAAGGCGGAGTGGGAGGGGCGCACACGAGAAGGTGAGGGCAGAAGACAAGCCTTGGGGGAAGGCGAGAAGCTCAAGGGCCTTGGGAAGATCAACCGTGTCTGGGTGTGTGCCCTGGGAGAAAGAGGAGGAGACAGGACACGCCGAGAAGGGGACAGGACAGGCAGGGAAGGTGGAGTGCGGGCGATGAGGGCGGGCGAATAGTTGGGAGGAGAACTGAGTCCTTGTGCGGGCTTGTGGGGCCTTGGAGATGGGAGGTCAACTGAGTCTTGTTGGGTGCCCTGTAAAGGGAAAGAGAGGATACACGAGGAGGGCGGAGTGGAAGGCAAGGCAAGGGTGAGAAGGTACGGGCAGAGTGAATTGGGAGGCGTGTGAACGTGAGAAGGTGAGGAATGGTTGGGTAGGCGATACCTAAGGAGGGTTGGGTCGGTGCTATCTGGGGAAGGTTGGGTAGGTTATACCTGAGACAAGGTTGTAACTTCTTACTGGGGGCAGGGACGCTCGGTTGACTTTGGAAACCTTGCCGTATGATGACCGCTCGACATACGCCCCATAGGGACCCACTTTGAGCCAGATCTGTAGAGGGTACGAAACGAACGACAGGTGGTGACGAAAAAGTGAAGAGACAACAAGAGCAGCAGCGCAAAGAGATGAACAAAACCAAACGTCGTTTGCTGTTATCTCAAATCCGACATGAACAGCCAAAAAAAACCCGAGTTAAATTCACATTTGCATACAGATTTACCATATGCTCACCCCCACCAAGCACTCACCGTAACCCCTGTGCTTGGGTCCTCCCCTATAATGTGCGCCACAGGGTCAATTGCCACTGCTAGAGTGGTAGTGGTGTGAGCCTAGTCCCTGCCCCACCCCCTATCTCTTCTCACCGTAGCCCATGTGCTTGGGTCCTCCCCTAGTATGAGCGCCACAGCCACAGCCAGAGTGCTGTTAGCCCAACCCATCCCATACATCCCATACATCCCATACATCCCATACATCCCATACATCCCATACATCCCATACATCCCATACATCCCATACATCCCATACATCCCATACATCCCATACATCCCATACATCCCATACATCCCATACATCCCATACATCCCATACATCCCATACATCCCATACATCCCATACATCCCATACATCCCATACATCCCATACATCCCATACATCCCATACATCCCATACATCCCATACATCCCATACATCCCATACATCCCATACATCCCATACATCCCATACATCCCATACATCCCATACATCCCATACATCCCATACATCCCATACATCCCATACATCCCATGTCCCAAAGGATGTTCACAAGCCCCACAATTCACCTTGGCCCCTGTGCTCGGGTCCTCCCCTATTATGTGCGCCACAGGGTCGATTGCCACAGCTTAGGTGCTGTCACCACTCTCACCTACCCACGCCATATGTTCCCTGTCAACTCCCTCTCCTCTTTCCTCCTCACCTTGGCGCCTGTGCTTGGGTCCTCCCCTATAATGTTTTGAGACGTCTCAAAACAAATCTTTTACCACCATAGCCCCTGTGGTTGGGTCCTCCCCTATTATGTGTGCCACAGGGTCGATCGCCACTGCTAGAGTGCTGTTAGCCCCACTGCCCATGAAATCCCTCCTTCTCATCTTCCTTCTCTCCCCCCCACCCAAGACCACTGACCTTAGCCCCTGTGCTTGGGTCCTCTCCTATAATGTGAGCCACAGGATCGATTGCTACAGCTAGAGTTCCTGCCTTCCCCTCCTGCTCCACCACTCGAGCCTTGAAGCTGCAGCAGGCAGGATAGAACAAGGGAGAAAGCACGCATGGCGCGTTGCTGTATAGAGTGACAGAAGGAAGAGAGCGCACAATGAGGACTGGATGGCACTATATTGAAATCACTTTTAAGAATTCTCAACAGTGATTTCAGAAAGAAGAGAGCACACAATCAGGACTGGCTGGCAGGCACTGTTTAAAATTTTCTCAGAGGTGTCTACACCAACTGGCAAGGGCTGGTACAACAAGACGTTGTGCAAATGACACAGTGAGAAAGGCACTGACTGGCATGTGGGATAGGCGGAGCAGCCGACAAAGGTGCGACTTTTGGGGCGCCTACGAAAGCAGCCGATGAAGAAAGAGTGGATTGAAAAGCTGGGAGCAAAGAACTCACTGGCCCGAGAATATATATTATATATATACATATATGTACATGTATATACATGTATATAAAGAAAAAAATAATACGAGGGTAAAAGCACTGACTGGCATGTGGGATAGGCGGAGCAGCCGACAAAGAGACCCACTCCCCGGCTGGAGAAGTTGTATTCCAACTCGCTGCTGCCACAGCTGAAAGAAGGGGAGAGGGTGGGGATGGGGGGAGGGGGGGGGAGGGTAAAAGGGATAAAGAGAGTGGTGACAGGACTTGGGAGCAGCCCACAATACAGAGACCCACGCCCCGGCTGGAGAAGTTGTACTCCAACTCGCTGCTGCCACAGCTGGTGGTGGGAAGCATGGGGAGAGGAGTGAGGTGTTAAGATGGATGAGCGGGAGGGGAGTGCTGTTGCAGCAACCCCAAAAAAGGCCACTTCCTGGCTGGAAGAGTTGAACTCCACTCGCGCTGCCACAGTTGGGAGAGGAGTGGGCGGGTGGGGCTGATAAGATCATGAGCGTAGCAATGTGGTGGGGTGGGGAGGCAGGCAAAGACGGGAGAAACAGCAGCGGAGTTTGCAAGGCAGTGTGTGCAGAAGAATGTAAGCGCGTGCTATTAGAAATGACTTGTGACATTTCTGAGAACTCTCAGGGCTCTTGTTGCACCTTGGGCAAGTCTTGGAGTGTGAGGGCGTTAGCAACGAAGACGATGGTGATGGTACTGATGGTGATGATAGATGTGTTTCAGAAAGGGCTGATGATGGTTCTGATGATTGGGATGGCAAGGAGGAGGAAGATGAGGGAGCCGGAAGAGCACGCGCTTTGGCCAGCACTTGAGAGTAGGTCTGTGCTGCTTCCACCAGCAGCCCATCGCCCAGGGTGACCTGTACTGCCGACCCCACCTGAGGGAACAAAAGGTACACAGCAAGGTAGGGCATGGGAGGCAGGCTGTAAGGCAAAGGACTTGAGTGGGAGCACGTCTCTGCTGCTTCCACCAGCAGCCCATCGCCTAACGTCACTTGCACTGCCGAGCCCACCTGCCAAAGGAGTTTTCGTGGTAGGAAAGGGTAACGGAGTAGACAGTAAGTCTGTGCTGCAGCATCGCCTACCAAAGGAGTTTGCATAGTAGGACGGGGAAGGGAGCAAGTGTTAATACCAAAAGCCGTCAGCACACTTCCTCTCCTAGTCCTCTCCCTTCCTCTCTCAAATCCAGCACTCACCGCTTGCGGTGACAGATTGTGCATTTCCTCCACTCCACAATGAGTTAGTGGTACCAGCTTGATCCAAATGCATGCACTCTTGCACGCTTCATTTTCACCTCTCCTGTTACCTCCTCTCTCCTCTTCAGCACTCACCGCTTGCGGAGACAGCATGTGCATTTCCTCCACTATAGGTTGCAAGTACCACCGGCTCGATCCAAGCGCACACTCTTGCATGCTCGTTTCCTCTCTCCTCTCCTCCTACCTACCTTCGCACTCCTCTCCACCACCCACCGCTTGCGGAGACAGCTTGTGCATTTCTTCCACTTTCGGCTTACTACCAAATACCAGCAGCACTCTACCTCTCCTCTAATCCCCTCTCCCCTCCTCTCGCCTCTTCTCCACCACTCACCGCTTGCGGAGACAGCTTGTGCATTTCCTCCACTCTCGGTTGGAAGTCCGTCCAGAAGCTTCTGAGAACCTGCCGCCAGTCCTCCTCCCCTGCTGCCACGTCATCAAACTGCAACGATTGGGAGTGCAGCAGGATTGATGAGCAGTGGATGTGAGCTTGGATTAACCGGTTTGGAGGTGACTTTTGAGTCGACTCAAAAGTCAACGATTGGGAGTGCAGCAAGATTGATGAGCAGTGGATGTGAGCTTGGACTAACCGGTTTGGAGGTGACTTTTGAGTCGACTTAAAAGTCAACGAATGGGAGTGCAGCACGATTGATGAGCAGTGGATGTGAGCTTGGATTAACTGCTTTGGACTCGCACCAAGCAGTGAAGTCAGCGTTCGCGTATGGTTTTTTATGCACAGCGTTTGCGTATGGTTTTTTAAGCACTCTTCACCAAGCAGTGAAGTGCAAGCGCGCGTGCTACTTTTTGATCATGTATTCCATCAATGCATCACTACCTACCTTGGATTCGAGCTGGGCTGTGAAGCCGGCATTCACGTATGGCTCCATGAAGTGGAGGAGAAACGCGTTGGCCTGTATGGATGCAGCATGGAGCACAAGGGGCAGACAGGTAGACACATAAACACGCGCATGATACATCACATTGGCGTCACTTTTGAGCTGTGAAGCCTGCATTCACATACGGCTCCATTAAGGGAGAAACGCGTTGGCCTGAATACGGTCAAGGAGCAGAGCAGACACACACATGAATGCATGCATGCATGCATGGTAACAACAAGGAAACAAGGTTGCAGAGTTTTGAGACGTCTCTAACAGATCATACTTGTTATAGGCAAACCCATTGCATGTTATACGCAAACCCATTGCACCCTTATGTCTTGCAAAGCCCACACATTACCAACAGCATCGGCAAGTCACCAGCCATTCCCCTATCACTCACACCAGCTTTTCACCTCCAAAACAACTTATTCATTCCCTCACTCACTCTCTCACTCACTCCCTCACTCACTCCCTCACTCACTCCCTCACTCACTCACTCACCAGCCGCCCCCTGATTGTAGGGTGTAGTCTGCGTGAATCCAGCTCCACGTATTTGCGCTCCTGGGGGTTGAGGGGGGAGGGAGATTGGGGGTGGAGGGGTAGGGGAAAACCATTCAGTCAATTAATCCACTTTCCATTTTTGAATCGACTCAAAACTCGACTTATCACACACAGTTCTAATGCTAGCAGTCTTGGGAGAATCAGAGGCCGACAGGAGCGGGACGCATTTATTAGAGTAACGTTTGTAACTCAGTAATTGTTAGTACCGAACGTAACACTAAGGGAGGCAGTTGTTTTTTGAAGGGGCCTCACTGCGCTCGTAAGCGCAGTGAGTGTGTGAGTGTGTGGGGGAGATTTCTCAGAAGCGGATGCACAGTGGGTGTGATGTGTGTGTGGGGGGATACAATACAATGCATCTCACAAGGAGCGTCTTGAGCGTGGGAGCGTAGGTGGACGGTCGGCCAATTCCCTCCGCCTCCATCTTCTTGATCTGAACAGGGACGCGGTGTGAAGGTGTTCAGTCAAAGGTCGTGAGATTGGAAACATCAGGGGAGGCCACAATCAGGAATGCGTCTTGAGCGTGGGAGCGGAGGCGGATGGTCGACCAACTCCCTCCGCCTCCATTTTCTTGATCTGAAAGAGAGGTAGAGGCAGACAAAGCGAGAGCGAAACTGGAAAATGCGACCACACAAGAAGCGTCTTGAGCGTGGGAGCGTAGGTGGACGGTCGGCCAATTCCCTCCGCCTCCATTTTCTTGATCTGAAGGGAGACAGTGAAAAGGAAGTGGGAGAAACATGAAAAAGGATGTCGCGGCGCCTCAAAATAGGCTCGATATCCATGGTGAGACAGAAAAGTGAGTGAGTGGTGGAGACCTGTAAAAAGAAGTGTTTTGAGACGTCTCAAAACACTTCTTTTCACACGTAGGCTCGATCTCCATGGTGAGACAGAAAAGCGAGTGAGTGGTGGAGAGTCAGTCAAGGCGAGGGGCCATGTATCTTTTGATACGCCTCAAAAGACACCTCCAATGGCGCCTCAAAAGGCGCCTCAAAATTCGCCTCAAAGCCTCAAAAGTGAGTGACTGGTGGAGAGTCAGTCAAGGCGGGGGGTATCTATCCGCGGTTGGCAGTTGCAGCGCAGTGCAGGCTTTTGATTGACTAAAAATTCATGTGACTGGTAAGATTGGCAGTTGCAATGAAGCTGCACTTAGATAGAGGAAAATTGCGAGAGATTGCAGCCTTTGGATTTCCGGAGAATCCTTACCTTACTTACCAGACCATCCCTTACCAGAGCTGCTTCGGTGTATCTCGGAGGCGGGCGTGTGAAGTGCTGACTAGGATCCACGGATTCGACCAATAGCCTGTCGCCAGGCTGAAAGGTTAGGTAGGAATGCAGAGCGGGTAATTGAGAGGGAGAGGAAGTGGGAGAAGGAAACCAAGGGATCGGCCACACTTGGACGTGATCTGATTTGATCAATTCTAACATTCTGCTGAGGCGACTTTGGAGGCCTTGAAGATCAACACATGTCAAGTGTGTTGCTACACTAGGTGACGAAGAGCAGGCATTAGAGAGCAGAGCAACAGAACAGCAAACCCGCAATGGTGAGCAGAAACGTCTACCTGAAGCGCCATGATTTCCTGGAACACGTCTGACGTGGCAGCTGTGCTGTCAGCATCTGCTGACGTGGCATCGCCACGTGGCGGCTCGGTGGTTATCCCTTCGGACAGGTCAGACAGGTAGCCCAGTGTCCTCGAATCCTGAAGGGGTGAGTGGAGCAAGAAAATGATAGGCAGTAAGACAATTAAGGTACGACAGTACGAGATATGCTGTCACAAAACATCGTGATCTAGTTAAGTCACTCACAGATATGCAGCAAGGAAGCTTGGCCAAGCAAAGGCAAAGGCGTTGGCTCGTAGGACAGCGTAGGCACATTACATAAGGATACTGCTGCGGGTAGGCAGTGTGGCGTGCTGCGGGTAGGCAGTGTGGCGTGCTGCTTCGAGACATTCTTAGGCAGCAAGTCAGGCAGGCAACAACTCAGACTGTTGACTGACAGTGAGAGATGAAACTCACACTATAGGCAGCAAGAAAGCCCGGCCATGCAATGGCGAAGGCGTTGGCTCGTAGGACAGCGGGAGGAGAGGCGGAAGGAGCAGAAGCAGAAGCGGAGGTCTCTTGTAACACTGTAAACCGTGAGTGGGAACTCACACTATAGGCAGCAAGAAAGCCCGGCCATGCAATGGCGAAGGCGTTGGCTCGTACGACAGCGGGAGGCGAGGGAAGCAAGACTTACATACTGATGTCTCAGCAATTTTATGTTACGTGGCAAGACATGAGAGATGATACTCACACTGTATGCAGCGAGGAAGCCCGGCCATGCAATGGCGAAGGCGTTCGCTCGTAGGACAGCGGGAGGAGAGGCGGAAGGAGCAGCCGGGTTGAGAGAAGGAGACTCAGGAGCAGATGTTTCTTGAAACACTGTAAACAGTGAGAGATGATACTCACACTGTATGCAGCGAGGAAGCCCGGCCATGCAATGGCAAAGGCGTTGGCTCGTAGGAGAGCGGGAGGCGAGGCGGAAGGAGCAGCTGGGTCGAGAGAAGCAGTCCCAGTTTCCGAAGTATCTTGAGAGGGGAAGGCAGATAGAAGGGAGGGATCGAGAGGGTATGCTGCAATGTCCACTGCGACCTGTGGTGCCGAGGGGAGTGGAAGGAGGAGAGGAAGGAGGAAACAATGGGAAGAAAGGCAGCATACTAAGTCAACTAAAGAATATGCATTGGCTCGTACAACAGCCGGGGGAGAGGTGGAAGGAGTGGCCAGGTCGAGAGAAGAAGAGGCAGAACCAGAAGTCACTTGTAACGGGAAGGCGGAGAGCAGCAGAGAGGGGCCAAAGGAGGTATGCTGCAAATCAGGCTCAGATGAGGCCTCCTACTGTAGGCAAACCCCTCTGTTACAACAAGGAGCAACCCCCATAACAGAGCCTAACTTGGTTTGCTCACCCTGTCGTAAACAGCGTTTGCCATTTGAGAGGCCGCGAATCGGGCCCAGATGAGAGCATAAAGCTTCCACTGCTCCTCCGTGAGGTCAGGCTTGACCAGAGCTGGGAGGGGGACCAGGGAGCAGACAGCAAAATCAGACTCAGGAGAACGCAGTGTCGAAAGTTGTGTTAGGCCCAGATGGGAGCGTAGAGCTTCCACTGCTCCTCTGTTAGGTCGGGTTTAACCAGAGCTGGGAGGGGGACCAGGGAGCAGACAGCAAAATCAGACTCAGGAGGACGTGTGCGGCGTGTGTAGTGTGTTCACTGGGACTCATACGAATGCATAGAGCTTTCATTGCTCCTCTGTCAGGTCGGGTTTGACCAGAGCTGTAGGAGAGACAGGGGAAGGAAGGAAGGAGCGGGAGAAGGGTGCTTGAGGTCGGCAGTTTGGGTGAGAGAGATAGGCACATACAGGTCCCTATGCCAGTTAAGATTCGAACAATGCTGAGAGGTGGATGAATGGGGAGGGAGAACAGGCCACAAAAACAGGCACACAAGCACATGCATTGTTGGATTGTGACATGAGACTGAGACGGATCGGATGGGCAGGTGGTGAGTAATAAGCCGCCTTACCTGACATGGCACATGGTACGTGCGAGGCTGTCATGCTACTTACCTGGCAGCAGGTGTGGGTGAGTCGGTCTGATCGCCTCATGTGCCTCCTGTGCGTTCCTCACCTTGGAGGCAAACACACGGGGAGACGGTGCCTGCACCAAACAGACAGAAAAGGCCTACAACACACCCACACGGAACCTACCTGGCAGCAGGTGTGGGTGAGTCGGTCTGATCGCCTCATGTGCCTCCTGTGCGTTCCTCACCTTGGAGGCAAACACACGGGGAGACGGTGCCTGCACCAAACAGACAGAAAAGGCCTACAACACACCCACACGGAACCTACCTGGCAGCAGGTGTGGGTGAGTCGGTCTGATCGCCTCATGTGCCTCCTGTGCGTTCCTCACCTTGGAGGCAAACACACGGGAGACGGTGCCTGCACCAAACAGACAGAAAAGGCCTACAACACACCCACACGGAACCTACCTGGCAGCAGGTGTGGGTGAGTCGGTCTGATCGCCTCATGTGCCTCCTGTGCGTTCCTCACCTTGGAGGCAAACACACGGGGAGACGGTGCCTGCACCAAACAGACAGAAAAGGCCTACAACACACCCACACGGAACCTACCTGGCAGCAGGTGTGGGTGAGTCGGTCTGATCGCCTCATGTGCCTCCTGTGCGTTCCTCACCTTGGAGGCAAACACACGGGGAGACGGTGCCTGCACCAAACAGACAGAAAAGGCCTACAACACACCCACACGGAACCTACCTGGCAGCAGGTGTGGGTGAGTCGGTCTGATCGCCTCATGTGCCTCCTGTGCGTTCCTCACCTTGGAGGCAAACACACGGGGAGACGGTGCCTGCACCAAACAGACAGAAAAGGCCTACAACACACCCACACGGAACCTACCTGGCAGCAGGTGTGGGTGAGTCGGTCTGATCGCCTCATGTGCCTCCTGTGCGTTCCTCACCTTGGAGGCAAACACACGGGGAGACGGTGCCTGCACCAAACAGACAGAAAAGGCCTACAACACACCCACACGGAACCTACCTGGCAGCAGGTGTGGGTGAGTCGGTCTGATCGCCTCATGTGCCTCCTGTGCGTTCCTCACCTTGGAGGCAAACACACGGGGAGACGGTGCCTGCACCAAACAGACAGAAAAGGCCTACAACACACCCACACGGAACCTACCTGGCAGCAGGTGTGGGTGAGTCGGTCTGATCGCCTCATGTGCCTCCTGTGCGTTCCTCACCTTGGAGGCAAACACACGGGGAGACGGTGCCTGCACCAAACAGACAGAAAAGGCCTACAACACACCCACACGGAACCTACCTGGCAGCAGGTGTGGGTGAGTCGGTCTGATCGCTTCATGCGCCTCCTGTGCGTTCCTCGCCTTGGAGGCAAACACACGGGGTGATGGAGACACTAACTTGCTGCCGTATTTCTGCTGCAGCAACGAGCGTAGCGACGCTACGGCTGTTTGAGAGACCTGGTATAGTGAGGGGGGTTGGTGGAAGAAAGGGAAATGAGAGTGAGAGAAAGCAACGCACCGCTTCCTCCCTTGAAGGCAAAAACACAGGGGGATGGAGACACAAGCTTGCTGCCGTATTTCTGCTGCAGCAAGGAGCGGAGAGACGCTATCGCGCTTTGGGAGACCTGGTTCGTTGAGAGGGGGGAGAGAGGGAGAGAGGAAACTAGAGTTAGCGGAACCGGCCACAACCAACCATTACTGGCCAATACCACGATCATTATTGTGAGAGGAAACATAAGCGGGGAGATGGCGAGCGAGCTTGCTGCCATACAGACACTCTAGCAGTGGGCCTCTCACGTTCACCCCTCCCCTCCCCCTCACCTGAACACTGTCTCCACCGCATGTACGTGATTAGCCCAGAAACCACACCTCCTCCTTCTGATCCTTTCCGCCCGGCACCTTTCGTCCCGTCTCCACCTTTTCCTTGCAGCACTCGGGAGGCTTCTGGGTCCAGTCATCCAAAGCCTGATTTCCAACTCTCACTCCCTCCCCCCTCACCTGCACGCTGTCTGTGCGCATGTATGTGATCAGCCCAGTCACCACCCCTCCTCCTCCGCCATACCCCTTCCGCCCCGCCCCACCAGTTACCACCCCTCACCACCACTCCTCCGGCCCCTCCCCCCTCCTCCTCACCTGAACGCTGTCTGTGCGCATGTACGTGATCAGCCCAGTCACCACGCCTCCTCCGCCAGACCCCTTCCGCCCCGAACCCTTTGCCCCGCCTGCGCCCTTCCCTTGCAGCACTCGGAAGGCCTCTGGGCCCAATGCCTCACCTCTTACCACCTCTCACCACCCCTTCTCACCTGAACGCTGTCTGTGCGCATGTACGTGATCAGCCCAGTCACAACTCCTCCCGCCCCTTTCCGCCCCGGCCCCTTCGCCCCGCCTGCGCCCTTTACTTGCAGCACACGAGAGGCCTCTGGGCCCAGTGCCACTCCCTCGTACAGCCGCTGGGCCACCTGTGATGGAGCAATGAAACACAGGTTCAGATCAGACGTGGTGGGAGGTGAGGTGAGGTGAGTGAATGACCCCGAGACTGTTGTGTTAGGTGCATAGGTTTAGGATAAGGGGTTTTGTGGGGGGCAGAGTGCTGGGGTTAAAGAAAGGAGAAAGTTGTATTGACTGGCGTGCCTAGCAGGTTCTGCAAGGCAGAAAGGTATATAGGGCAGGGGGTTAGATGGGGAGAGAGAAGAGTGTGGTATTAGATCACGTGCCCTGCAGTAGCTCTGCAAGACAGAGGAAGATACAGGACAGGGGGCAGGAAAGGGGAGAGGAGAGAGTGGTACTAGGTCCCGTGCCTTGCAGAAGCTCTACAAGACAGAGGGAGACACAGGACAAGGGGGCAGATGGGGGAGAGGAGAGAGTGGTATTAGGTCCCGTGCCCTGCAATAGCTTTGCAATTTAGAGGGAGACACAGGACAGGGGGGCAGACAAGGGGAGAGGAGAGAGTGGCATGTGGTCTCGTGCCCTGCAGTAGCTCTGCAAGACGGAGGGAGACACAGGACAAGCTGTTCCACTTCTATGGGTGCACCTTTTCTCTCTCTTTTCCCCCTTGCCTCCCCTCCCTCCCAACCCTCCTCTTCTCTCCACCTCGTCAGCTATGCGTTTGACCCACAGCGCATGGCCGCCAGCATCACGCTAAGAAAGGCTGTCTTTTGTTTCTCAAACCCCACAACCCCCCCTCACTTCCGTGACCCGTGCCCTTCCCTTGCAGCACTCGGGAAGCCACTGGGCCCAGTGCCACTCCCTCGTACAACTGCTGGGCTACCTGTGATGGGGGAATGGGGAGGGGTGGAGCAGGGAAGGGGAGGCTGGGGCTGAACCCAAGTTTCAAGGACGCCTCTTGTTGCATCGACGGTGGTTAAAGGAAAGGAGAAAGGAGGGGAAGGGGACTGCCTGGTCTGCGAGCGGTGCACTCCCTGCACCTGCAGCTCACTGCCTCACTGCAGGTAACCCAGTAAACACCCAGCCCCCACTGGGCACTCACCGACATGGTTCTGCAGCCTGCTAGGGCTGAAACCCAGTTTGGATGATGCCTCTTGTTGGAGTGAGGACGTGGTGAAGGGGCGAGAGGGGGGCCGCCTGGTAGGAGAAGCCTGCATGTCCTGCATATTCACACACACAGCACTCACCGCCATGGTTCTGCTGGGGCTGAACCCGAGCTTAGATGAGGCCTCCTGCTGCATTGAGGATGTAGTGAAGGGGGGAGAGGGGGACCGCCTGGTCTGTGAGCGCTGCACTCCCTGCACCTGCAGCTCACTGCCCTCCACCAACACAGGTGAGTCTTGAGATTCACTGGGGGGAAAACAGTGGCCGACCCACACACTCCCGAACAACAAACAACCTACCGTCATGGTTCTGCTGGGGCTGAACCCCAGTTTCGAGGATGCTTCCTGTTGCATCGAGGAAGTGGTGAAGGGGGGAGAGGGGGAGCGCCTGGTCTGCGAGCGGTGCACTCCCTGCACCTGCAGCTGGAAACACTCAGTCCCCACCACACACTCACCGACATGGTTCTGCTGGGGCTGAACCCCAGTTTCGAGGATGCTTCCTGTTGCATGGACGAAGTGGTGAAGGGAGGGGAAGGGGACCGCCTGGTCTGCGAGCGGTGCACTCCCTGCACCTGCAGCTCACTCCCCTCCACCAGCATTGCCGCTGCCAACGCCGTTTCTCCGTCCCTTATCCCCCCCTCCACTCCTGCTGCTGCTGCTGCCTTTTCATCTCCTTCTTTCCCTTCTTTCACTTCTTTCGCTTCTTTCCCTTCTTTTGCTTCTTTTGCTCGTTTCCCTCCTGCTCCTGCTCCTCCGCCCCCCCCACTCCTCCTGCCGCTGCTCCCACAGGCTCCCCAAAGAGATGAGTGAGTCTAGCTGGGAACGACAGAGGCGCATCACTCCCCGCCCCTGCTCCTCCTGCTCCCCCTTCTCCTGCTGCTCCTACACTTGCTTCTTCTTCTCCTCGTCCCCCTCCTGCTCTTCTGCCCCTCCCTGTCTGCTTCGCTTCAGCGATCCCTTTCGAGCTTTCAAGAAGTGCACCCTTGGGGGCTCTACAAGCCTGCACCATAGCACTCACAGTAAAATACTCCTGCGCGTTAAACCCCGCCACCTCCCCTTCTCTCTCACACACAAACCGCAGCGCCACCGACTGAACACGCCCTGCCGATTTGCACCCAGGAAGCTTCCTCCAAAGCACAGGCGACAGGTTAAAGCCCATGAGAAAGTCTAAAACCCTGCGGGCGAAGTATGCGTCGACTAGGGGTTGGGAGAGCAGGCGGGGGTGGGAGAGAGCAGAGAGGACAGCGGAAGGGGTAATTTCGTGGAAGGTGGCTCGATGGATCGTGAGATCACAGCCATTGGATCCGGCGGCTGGGAGGAGCCATTCGTCGTTGGATGGAGAGGGGAGGTGGGAGGGAGAGAGGTGAGGTGCGGAGGAGGGTGACGATGATTCTTGTGTCAGTGCTAGTGCTTGTGATGGTGATGGTGATGCTGGTGATGATGATAATGATTCTGACAGTGGAAAATCGCTGCCAGTGCTGCTGGTGGTGGTGCTGCCGCTGCTACTGCTGCTTGTTCTGCTCCTGCTTTCCTTCAGCTCCTTCCTCACCTCCCCTAGAAGCTCCTCCCCCTCCAACCACCCATGCTCCCCCTCCTGCTCCCCATGCTCCCCATGCTCCCCATGCTCCCCGCCTTGCTGCTTCAACCCTTCGCCTTGTAACACAACTCCACCACCAACTGCACCATCAGAAGAAGCAACATTAGCACTCGCCGATCCATCTAAACTCTTCGATCCTTCTGCTTCGGGACTCAACAGATTCGACTCTGCAGCAGCAGCTCCATTGGAGAAAAGATCGGATTCTCCCTCCCACCCCTCTGCACCTTGTAGCACACCGCTCCTCCTTCCTCTGCTGCCTCCTGTGCCTCTGCTGCCAATTGCTGCTCCAGGAGAACTGCCTGTTGGTGTGGGGTCATGTCATGAGGGGAGTTTATAAGAGAGGGATCAAAGAAGAGACGAAGGGGTGATGTGCCAGTTCTCCTTCCTCTGCTGCCTCCTGTGCCTCTGCTGCCAGTTGCTGCTCCAGGAGAACTGCCTGTTGGTGTTGTGTTGGGAGGCGAAAAGAAGAAAGAGGAATAAAAACTTATGAAGGGTCACGCCTCATTTTTCCATCTCTCCTATGCCTCTGCTGCCAGTTGCTGCTCTAGGCGAACTGCCTGTCGGTGTGGTGTCATGTCATGAGGGGAGGAAGCAAAACATAAATGAAAAAAGAGGAGAACTCAGCAACACTAGGTGCAGGATGGAAAGTGGAGAATGAGGGGCGAACGAATTCTCAAAAAAAAAAAAAAAAAAAAAAAAAAAAAAAAAAAAAAAAAAAAAAAAAAAAAGAGAGAGAAGTCTCAAACAAAACTGATTACCTGTTGCACCATCTTCTCCCTCCGCTGTTCCTTCTCCCTCTGCTACGCCTCTGCTCTCCTCCTTGCCACAGCAGCGGCCTTTAAGACTCACTTATTCCCCTGTTCATCCTCCTTCACTCACCTGTTGCACCATCCTCTCTCTCCGCTGCTCCTTCTCCCTCTGCTGCGCCTCTGCTCTCCTCCTCGCCGCAGCAGCCCCTTTAGAGTATTGGGGCGTCTCAAGTCTTACCCCCCCCCCCCCTCCTCCCCCCAACCACCATACTCTTCTCCCTCTCCCTTACCTGTTGCACCATCTTCTCTCTCCGCTGCTCCTTCTCCCTCTGCTGCGCCTCTGCTCTCCTCCTCGCCGCAGCAGCCCCCTTGAGAAGCTGGTACACATGCCAAGCTATGGCCTCCCCCTCCCTGTCCGCATCGGTAGCCAGCACCACTCCCTGTGACCTGGGTTGCAGGAGAAAGGAGGGAGAGGAGGGAGAAAAGCAGGGAATGGAAGAGGAATCTAGCTAGAATGAGCAGCGCCACCAGCAGCAGCAGCCCCCTCGAGCAGCTGATACACGTGCCAGGCATCATTTCTCACGTAACCCTGCTTTTCTCACCTGAATGCAGCAAGGGCTATGGCTCGCAAGTGAGGTACAACCTGGGGTAGGATTCGCCAGTCAACGGCAAAATCAGCTTCAGGGGACACAGCATCCACCTTATTGGGTACGTCCCTCACATGCCCATGCGCCCATGTGCTTTGGATTGCGTTGACCTGTGTTGACTTGTGTTGACCAGACTCACAACACTCACATGAATGCAGCCAGAGCAATGGCTCTGAAGTGTGGCACAGCCTGGGGCAGGATGCGCCAGTCAATGGCAAAATCAGCCTCAGGGGAGACAGCATCCACCTTGTTTGGCACATCCCTCACATGCCCATGCATCCATGTGCGTTGACTCCCATAGACTAGAGTTGACCCACACGCTTTTCTCACCTGAATGCAGCTAGAGCAATGGCTCGGAAGTGCGGCACAGCCTGAGGCAGTATTCGCCAGTCAATGGCAAAGTCAGCCTCGGGCGAGACAGAGTGAGGCCAAGGAAACAGAGGAACCAATCCCAGAATTACCTGAATGCAGCAAGGGCAATGGCTCGGAAGTGCGGCACAGCCTGGGGCAGGATGCGCCAGTCAATGGCAAAATCAGCCTCGGGTGAAACAGCATCCACTTTGTTGGGTACATCCCTCACATGCCCATGCGTTGACTCCCGTTGACTCGCGCTGACTTCTGTTGACCAACCTCCCAACTCTCACCTGAAAGCGGCCTGGGCAATGGCTCGGAAGTGCGGCACAGCCTGGGGCAGGATTCGCCAGTCAATGGCGAAATCAGCCTCCGGCGAGACAGCATCCACCTTATTCGGCACATCCCTCACATGCCCATGTGTCGCCAGCACCGAAAACTCCCTCTTTCTCCCTCTCACTCCCACTGCCCCTTCTGGTTCTTCTGCAGATCCTGCTTCTCCTCCTGCTGCTGCTTCTGCGTCTGCTGCTGTAACGAGGCTTAAGGGGGGTTCGGGATCAGAGGCTAAATGTTGTAGGTAACCCTGAATTGTGCGGGCTTTGGAGGGGGATTCCACCACCACCAGCCATCGCTCCACCTCCTCCCATAATTCTGCTCGCACGTTTAGCACCACCAACACCACCAGCAGTAGTAGCATAGACTGCATTCTCTCCCAGAGCAGTGGGAGTGAGAGACCTACTGCTTAGTTCTGCTTCCTTCTCCTCTGTTGATGCTCCTGAAACCACTGATTTCGCCAATTCTGCTGCTTCTCCTGCTGCTCCTGGCGTTGCTGCGTCAACTGCACCTACAGGTTCAGCCGTACAAACCGCCTTACTCCCTGCCTTCCTCTTTGTCCTCTTGCCCGCTGCCTTCCCCAAGCCCTCTTCTGCCTCTGCTGTGCCTGCTCCTGCTGCCGCTTCTGCTGCTGCTGCTGGTATTGCAGCGTCCAGTACCGATTCACTCGTACTCTCATCCTTCCTCACTGCTTTTCTCCTCGGGCTCTTCACCTTCTCCTCTCCCGGGGCCTCCTCCCCCTCTTCTCCCTTCTTCCTTCCTTCTGCTGCTGCCGCTGGTATTGCAGCGCCCAGTACCGATTCGCTCTTACTCTCACCCTTCCTCACTGCTTTCCTCCTTGTCCTCTTTGTCACCCCTACACCCTTTGCTTCTGCTCCTGCTGCCGCTTCTGCTGCTGCTACTGCTGCCGCTGGCGTTGCAGCGTCCAGTACCGATTCACTCGTACTCTCATCCTTCCTCACTGCTTTTCTCCTCGGGCTCTTCACCTTCTCCTCTCCCGGGGCCTCCTCCCCCTCTTCTCCCTTCTTCCTTCCTTTCACACCCCTCTTAATCCCCTTACCCACCGCCGGGATTCCTTCCGGAACCACATCTGCTGACTCAGCACTGGTTAATGACTTAGCATGTATAGCCGAACAGCACATTTGCCTTGTGCTGCAGATACCACCGCCGATCTTGGATCTATTGTCAATAACGTTGTTCGAGTTAGTCACATTCAATATAGTGCTGCTGCTGGGTCTGGTACCGCTGCTGCTGTTGGCATCGCTGATGTAGCCGCCACTCCTGCTGCTGCTGCTGAATCCACTCCTAATAAAGCCGTTAATTCTACAAGCACAAACCTTGGAGATACCGATGCTGCTGCCACTGATGTTGCTGCCATTGACGCTGCACCTATTAACGTTAGCACTTCCAACAATTAGCCTACTGTTGTTGATGATGCCGCTGCTAGTGCTGAAACGGCTAATAACGCCGCTCTTGGTGCCAATACTCACTCTACTACCGGGACTAGTGCTAATGCTGACGCTGCTACTGCTCAATGTACTAATTAATCTGCTGCTACTGCTAACGCTGACGCTGCCACTACCCCGCACAGCAGCCGCGCCGCTCTCCCAGATCAGCATCAGCGCGTCGCGTTGGACTATCAAGCGGTTAACGCGCCTCGCATACGGGGAAAGAGCAGGCATCCCTCGATGTTGCCGTTGCTGCTGCTTGCTGCCGCTGCCCCCAATGTTCTCGCTACCGCTCGATTCTGTTACACCTAGCGTGTCGCCGTTACCGTTACTCGCTCCAGATCAACATTCGGCTATCAAGAGATCAACGGGGCGCAGATACGGGAAACACCCTCGCGTCCACGTGGACCATCCCTCCTTCCACGTGTATCGGGATCAGCAAGTGTACGGTGTGACTCACACCGGAATCATGCCGTGGCATCCGGGGATGGGGCGTCAAAAGCGATAGGGTGCAGTGATTCACGTTTCCCGGCAGTTTTGAGCGTGGGTTTCCTGCGAAATGACGTCGCAGAGGTACACGTCAGTCTCCCGACCTACTTTATCTGTAATAATGCCCGTTTATGCGCCGGATACGACGGAAGGGAGAACAGGCATCACCTATGCCTGGGGGTTATCCTCTGTCGTACGGAAAGGGGGCGGGGCTTAGCAGAATTTCTGTGTATTACCCTCTCCGGTAAGAAGTGCAAGCTAGGTGTGCAAAAAATATGAAAGAATCAATATCAAAGGCCAATGTCTCTAACGAAAAGTTAATCCAGGTTTTCTCCTTTGAAAGCAGTCAAATACGGTCTAATACAAATGAGAACGGTAAAGTGCGATACAGTGTTCTCTCGCCCTAACCCCAAACCTCGAGATTACCTCACATATTTCTGGTCACTTCGTTCCCTTCCCTCCTTCCTCATCCTCTTCAAATCTGCACTCTAGCCATTCCTTCAGTTTCCTTCCATCCCTCCTCGGGATTGCCGTTTTTTTATCAAGTCTCGTTTGTGCGCGACTAGTGACGAATCATCCAACGTTAGTTCGTCTCCTGCGTCGCGGGTGCCAGATCGCCTCTCCCTCGTCTCGGTCTGATTCGAGAGCTTTGTTCGTCCAAGGACTTCCCTCCATCATAAGTCACGATCTCCTTGCAGCTTGGAAGCCGCTCTTCTGCTGTGTTAGGGTTACGCCATGGCTGACGACGAAAACGTTCCGACCGTCTCAGACGTGAGCGAATCCTCTGCTTCTTGTTCCCGCCTTAGTTTTCTCCTAGATTTCCAGCTATACGAAGCAAGCTCTTGCTGCTCGCTCGTCTCGACAGTTTTGCACTCTTGAGGCGTCCTAGCATTCGGCGCTCCCTCTCTCTGTCTCTGCGTTTTTTAGAATTCTCAAAAAACATCTCTTGAGACATACTAGCATTCGGCGTTCTCTCTCTCTCTGTCTCCGCGTTTGACGCTAGGTCAGGTGTTTGATCGAGCTATCCATAGCAAACGATTCTTGTGCGTTGACTTTTGAGTCGACTCAAAAGTCACTTCTATGCGTAGCAGACGATTGTTGTGCATTTCGGTATTGATCCGAGGTTGCCCCTTTATTCCATTGTCGTCGGTTTCCTGGGTCCAGGTTGGTTCCTTTGATCTAAGCAAGAAGAAGAAGAAAAAGAAGAAGGATCGATCTGCGGAAGAGGAAGCCGCTGACGTGGCAGAAGTCGCCGAGAAGGTGGAAGGCTTGTCAGGTAGGATCGGTTCAGTAAGGTTACCATCGGTAAGGATAAGATCAATACGACTGGGATCGGTAGATGGAGAACCGCGTTAGGTCGTCGATCTATGTTAACATAGGCTGTTGGATGTTCTTTGGTATAGATTTTTTCGACGACTCAAATCTGGTCGTCACTTCACTTCTCGTCACGTCTTGCCAATCCTCGTCAGTAATCCTTCTCCGCATTTTCACGTTCGCCGCATAAGCAATATCAGTCTGGCTCTCCGTTTCCTTCCGTGTTTGCTTGTTGTTTTCCCTTTCTCCTTCTTTTCCTCCGCAGTGGAGGACGCCGTCGAGACCGTCGATTTCGGCGCAAAGAAGAAGAAAAAGAAGAAGCCGCAGGTAGGTTTGTTTCTGAAATTTCTTAAGAGTGCCGTCAAGATAAAACAGTAAGAAGCTCAAAGGTTTGCGTATGTCGGGACAGGTACCAAGGGGTTTAAGACATTGCAGGGAGTAGAGAGCTGAATACATTCATGTTAATGCCTGCGTGTTTTTTTTTGCATTCCCAGGCTGACAGTTGGCTGGAGACTGCTGGAAAGGAATTGGTGTGCCGGAAGGGAGGGTGAGCGGAGGTGGTGGGGTGGAGGAGCTGGTTGAAGCCTTGAAGCTAAATACCCTCCGCTCTTCTTCTTTTCCTCCTGTTTTGGCAGGCTGACGGGGAGGCCGCGGACGGCGAGAAGGAGAACGAGGCGGCAGAGGAGGGAGCGGCGGGCGAGGAGGGGGAAGGGTTGGAATTGAAGCTGGAGAAGAAGAAAAAGAAGAAGCCGAAGCAGCGCACGGAGGAGGAGGTGGTGGAGGCTTGAAACTTTTCTTTATTTATTTCTTTCCTTTTCTTTCTTTTACAGGCTGATGGGGAGGCGGCAGACGGTGAGAAGGAGAACGAGGCGGCAGAGGAGGGAGCAGCAGGCGAGGAGGGGGAAGGACTGGAATTGAAGCTGGAGAAGAAGAAAAAGAAGAAGCCGAAGCAGCGCACGGAGGAGGAGGTGGTGGAGGCGGAGGAACACGCCAAGGCCGCTGATGAGGACGAGGAGGAGGATGATGAGGAGGGCGCGGGAGAGGGGGAGGACGATGAGGAGGCGGAGGGGATTGAGCTGGGAGGTCCCACGAAGCTTCCGTGGGAGGGGACGGACCGGGATTACAAGTACGAAGAGGTGAGTTGATATGTTAGGAGGGGGGAGGGGGAGGGAGGGAGGAGGGGGGGAAGGAGGGGGAGGAGGGGGAGGGGGGGAGGGGGGGGGGGGGAAGGGGGAAGAGGGGGGACAGGGGGGGGAGGGGGGGGGGGAATGGGGGGAGAGGGCGGGGAGGGGAGGTGGTGGAGGTGGAGGAGCACGCAAGGCGGCTGAGGAGGATGATGAGGACGGCGCTGGAGAGGGCGAGAAGGATGATGAAGAGGGCGCGATAGAGGGCGAGAGGCGGAGGGGATCGAGCTGGGAGGTTCCACGACTCCTCCCACCAGTCCAGTCTCCCCTCCCCCCTTCCCCTCCTCCTCCCCCCTCCCCTCCCCCCTCCCCCCCCAACCGCCCCCCACCACCTACTTACCGCTTGTTTAACATTTTGTCAGAAAAAACCTCGAGCTGACTGGAGACCTTCGCTATCATGCTTTATCAGCTGTCTCTTGCATTTCTGCCTCCCCAACGGCCCCCCTTCCTCCCGCTCCCTCCTCCTCCGTACTCCCGCCCTTCCCTCTTACCCTCCCCTCCCACTCCCCTCCGCACCCATTCACAGCTCCTTGGACGTGTGTTCAACATCCTGAGGGAGAATAACCCTGAGCTTGCTGGGGACCGTCGCCGAACCATCATGCGCCCTCCCCAGGTACGTAACGTAACATTGCTATAGGGAACACTTTTGAAAAAAATCGTAACCGAACCATCATGTACCCCCCAGGTGCATGCAACATACCCCCCACCAACCCTCCTCTTCCCCCCCCAAGAACCATTTTGTATTGCTCATCTCATCTCTTCGATATCGTCCTGCCTGTTCGCCCTCATTCTCTCTGCTCGTACCAATCCTTCTCATTCTCCCCATCCTCCGCATCCCCTATCCTCCCCATCCTCCCTATCCTCACTCCCCATCTCCTTCATCCTCCCTCTCCATCCCCCCAATCCTCCCTCCCCATCCCCCCCATCCT